CTACAGGGTAGCATGCATGCGACTCACGATGAAACCCATGCCGCTTCCGATTGAGAGAGAAATCGACGAACTGTCTCAAGTCAAGCTTTACACCATGGATTGGACAGGCGTCAGATTTGCAGCGGTCCACCCAACAAGATGTGCACGAGAGAGACCATAATCTGCGCTGCTTGTACCCGTAAGGGTCCACTGTTTGATGGAGATTGTGTTCTTGCTTTTTTCGCCTTCCCACTCGAGTCCCAATTAGCCGCGAGAGGTAGTGAACGAGCCTAAGCGGAGATTGGACCTTTAGGCTGGACGGGCGATATCAGCTAGGTCGACAGGCGAGGAGTCCCTTGCTTTGTGTTGGATGATGAATGGATGGATGGACAATTGAGGGAAACCAGGGGCAGAAAAGTCAAAGCATCATGTCTTCCTCAATGCCGAAAGAAGACGATCATCCAGAGAAGGTGAAAGAGACGGAAGGAACGGCCGGTACTACGTAGTGGAGGGCAGCCGGTATTACCTTACCGTACGGGCACGGCTGAGCAGGGATCTTTCCTTCCTTCCTCTCTCTCTTTCCATCTTCTCTCTCTCTCTCTCTACTGTGTAATCGGTGCAAATGCAGTTCGGACCGAGGGCTAATTAGTGATCATTCTTCTGGTCAGTATCATCATCCAGTGGATTCTGAATTGGTGGCCGTCAGCCATTTCCAGTGCCCTCTTCTTCCCTCCGACCGCCTGATTGGATTGAGGTCCCCCCCCAGGATTCCACTCCGTCGATGAATGATTCGATGAATTCGCGACGGATGAATGGTTGACTTCTATCTCCACTTCCGTCCCCGGCTTCTTGGTCGAAGAATTCGGTCGAGCTTGGAGCCTTGGGTATGGGTACGACGATGGAATGCGGATGGAATGGGAAAACTTCCTTTCACCCTTGAGCCAACCATGAGGCTTTCCATTCACGATCACTTTGCTTTCCCCAGATGATGCCGGTGTTGGGATTTCGTTGCTTGTTCCCCCGCTCACTAGTTGATTTTTTTTCTTTTTCCTTTTTCTTTTCCTTCTCTCTCTCTGTTAGGTGTCTCCTTTTCTGTTCGTCTATGACTTTCCCTCCGAATGGCAGTCTATAGCTCTTCCTAATACCCGTCGAAGAACGAGACGGGACTGGAAAGCATTCCGTGTCCACCAGAATTGATGGAGATGCGGCGCAGTCCGCGGAGTGGATTTGGTGCAAATCGTGACACTAATCCACCCAGGCTCACCACTGTCGCTCCACATCCGAAAAAGATTTATTACAAAATAGCATAAATTAAAAATGAAAAAGAAATAAAATAAAAGAAAATAAAAGAAAATAAAAAAAACCCGCAGCTAAACTCAACTAACGGCCCTTCCTCCCCATTTGGGTAAGTTGCTGGTCTCCCCTGCAACTTTCGCTCGTCCGGTCGTGTCTCATCGTCTCGTCCGTCTGTCCATCCATCCTCTTAATTCGCCTCGTTCCCCTCTTCCTCTGCTCCCTTCCTCCTTTTGTTCTGTTTATTTCTCCTTCTCCATCTTGCACGGTCCGAGTAAAGCGTTTGTTGATCCGCCCAGCAGAGCTGTGCGTTATCTCTTTTTCTCCTTGCCTCGTGCTTTATAATTTCCTCCCCGGTTTCACATATATTTCCTCCCATCTCCCTCCGAAATCTCCAGCTAGCTGTGGAATCGGTTTTAATCTTCTCTTACCTCAATTCCATAAACCCAACCCATCGTAATATCATCTTGTTAGATTTTGTGTGATCTATCAATCCCATCGATCATGTCGGCGGAACACACCAACAACACTTCGCTCGAGAAGGACTTCGGCCCTGCTGCTACTGGAGGTAGCTCTGACGGCATCAACGGCAACGGCGCTCCCATGACCCACCAGTTGACGGCCGAAGAGACGGCTCAGGCTGCTGCGCGCTTTGGATACGGTCCTCTGTCCCATGTCAACACCGCGGAGAACCAACTGCGTCCCTTCGGTGGTGAATTCCAGCCCGGTCTGTACAAGTCGGTCGAGCAGCGCAAGTTCGCCAACCCTGCTCCTCTGGGCCTGTGTGCTTTCGCCCTGACCACTTTCGTGCTGAGCGCGATCAACATGGGCGCACGCGACATCACCGAGCCCAACATCGTCGTGGCTCTGGCTTTCGGCTATGGTGGTCTCGTCCAGCTGCTTGCGGGCATGTGGTAAGTTGAATCGAATCGATTTCCTGCGATATAGGGATTTCCTCTTGCTGACGCTTTCAAAAGGGAAATGGCCGTTGGTAACACTTTTGGTGCCACTGCTTTGTCTTCTTATGGTGGTTTCTGGCTGTCGTTCGCCATCGTCCTGACCCCCGGTGGGTTCAACATTCAGTCGGCGCTCATCGAGGCGGACGACGGTGCCACTGCCATGTTCGACAACTCTTTCGGCTTGTTCCTGTTTGTAAGTTCATCTTCTCGGTAGACGGAAACGTCGACAATTCAATCCAAGGTTGAAGGGCAATCGCTGACCGAGGTCGAATGCTTAGGGTTGGTTCATCTTCACGACCATTCTGCTCTTCTGCACCCTGCGATCCACCGTGGCGTTCTTCTTGCTGTTCTTCTTCCTTGACCTGACCTTCCTGCTGCTCGGTATCGGTTACATCCGCCGCGACAGCTCGGGCGCCCCCAACCCCCCCGTGATCAAGGCCGCTGGATTCTTCGGTTTGATGGCGGCGTTCGCGGCCTGGTACAACGCCCTGGCCGGTATTGCGGACAACAGCAACAGCTTCTTCATCCTCCCCGTCGCCCACTTCCCCTGGTCCCCCACTGCTCGCAACCGCTCCAAGAAGACCGAGCGCCAGACCGTTTAAAGTGGCGTTGCACACCTTGTGCGTGCTGGCTTGAAACAAGCATGTCTCGGCATTCGGTTTCGGAGCCAAGCAACAACCAGAAAATCTCCGCCCGCGGAGAGAACGGGGGATTGTCCTGCATTTTAGATACCCAGTATTTTTTAAGATCGTGTGGCTGCGTGGGAGGATTTCTCTCTTCCGACTTGAGCAGCTTGGCATGCAACAATGCGTGTTCGATTGCCGGGACGTGAGGGTAGTGTCGACTGCCGCAGGTATAGATATAAGGTCACCACATTAAATGTCGATTTTTTTTTGTTTTCTTTTCTTTTTTTGTCATGTCATGTTCCTTTCCTGTTAGTACTTCCAGGTTAATGAATCGTATCAAGAGGAGGATAATGACGGTGCAGACTTTGTCACGAGCCTGTGACAAGAATGGTTCTGTATTTAGCCTTATTAGTTGATTTAATTATATGATCTGTATGTCATCTGTCCATTAGTAAATGTCAACATGAGATAAAAAGTAAAAGTGAGTCTTAGCGATGACCGACCGGGTGACATGACGTACCTTGACAGCAAGCTAACGGGCATGCCTTGATTAGCCAACAGTGAATAAATAGATGAGCAACAAGCAACCTTAAATTAGTAACTAAGGTGACATCTTCCAGACCAGCATTAGAATTAGAGTTAGTTAGCTCCGACAAGAATAATGGTAGCAGTGGTGGTTAGTGAGTCGATCATTCCACCCTAGTTATAGGAATGGAAAGTAAATAGGTAGACAGAGAGAAGAGGGAGCGGTGAAGTTAAGGTATTCTGATAGTTAGAGACAATTGAGAGAGCAAGGGTAGATAAAAAAAAAAAAAAAAAAAAAAAAGTAAGAAAGAGGAATAAGAAAGAGGAAAGGAGAGAAAACAAAAAAAGAAAAAGAAGAGAATAGAATGAAAGGAAGAAAAGGATCCCAGCTACCTATAACTAGTCCAGAGTAGAAAGAACTGTCAAGTCGGTGATTTCTCGGGGGGCTGAAATTCGTATCGATCTCGGGGGGAGCTCGGCTTGCCGTTTTTCTCTCTCTTTTTCTCAGTTTCTCGCCCTATAGCCTTATGTTTTTGGCGGTTTTATTAGGTCCGTCGGAGTACTCCGCGGAGAAGACTCGGTTGGATTGTTGTTGCTAGAACTAAGGCACCTCTAGTGCGACGCGGTGTTGTCGGACGGACGAAACTCGGGGATGAAATTGGCAGCGGATTGACAGGGGGCTCGGGCTGGGCTCGGGGTCGGGGGACGGGCAAGCACGGGATGTGCTTTGATCGTATTGCATCATTTGTTCCGATATTTTGGTTTCATATCTTGTGATCTTGAGGATTTGAATTGTGGAATTGATGTTCTGATGTTTTGGGATTGTTAGTATGTATGTTCATAGTACGTTCTTAGTTTTAGATATGGGCTTTGTGCTCTGTGGTTCATACTTCGAGGTCAATACCTAGATATGTCGTATCCATAAGACGTGAAAATCGAAGTTGAAGACTGTTAATTTCCATAGAAAGTAACAAACAACTTCGCTAATCGATTAGGTCACACCATACCTGCAACATCATCATCCGAACCCCGATCAGTCCACCATCTATCTACATAGTACTCCGTACTTGTCCTCCTCCGCATATTCCCGGCCTCTACAAAATCTAGAAAACAAGTCTCACCCCACGAATGTTCCCATCTAGATGGTCCTAAAGAAAGAAGCCCATTTTTTCAATTTTTAATGAATCGAGGAACCCTTTTCAAGGAACGTTTCAAACAAATCGCGCAATCTTCTGGCCTCTGAGGAAGGGACTCGGAACTGACTCTATACCCCGTAAGCGAGCTGAATGGTAACTCAGCCCGACGCGCCGGTTTCCACTTCCTGCAGGTCTAAGAATAGCCAAGAGGTCTTGGTGTTCGATTCTTGTTCTTGGGTACCTGTTATCGTGTGGTGCTTGCCGAATTATGCCCGAGGGGGAGGATTATTTAATAATTTACCTATTCTCCGTACTTCATAGTTACTTGCACTCTGCGAGTAGCCTGTGGATGAAAATCTTGTAATGCGATTAATATCTAAACATTATATCCCAAGTTTCTATCCATGACCGATATACATATAGTAAGTGATTAATCACTACTTGCCTGAAGTAGGGCGAAGCAGAGTTGACGAACTTCAAATCTAGGCTACTTCATCAGGAACTTCCATCACGCGCAACTCGTCCCATAATTCCCGCAATGGAGCCAAGTACACCCGATCCACGTAGAAGAAATTCATGAGCGAGGCGCGCAGGTCCTGCCAAGACTGGAGACCCTGGATGCGGACGGCGGTGGCCAGCTCCCTGACGAAGAACGACCGGTCCGAGACTATCATCTTGGAGGCGCAGGCGCCCGTGAACAGCAGCCAAGTCAGTAGATCGCGGCAGAGGTGGAAACAGCCCGTCGGGATGATGGATTCCAGCGCCGTACGCAAGCCCGTGATGGGCTTCGGGAACACCGGTGCGATGTTCGGGTAGAAGTCCCAGATGGCCGTGTTGTGGTAGATGAAGCAGGCCAGACGCACGCAACCTTCGATCGAGGAGTCGCCTTTGGCTTCACCGGACGCGGTGTACCGGTCGATGTGTAGGGCATATTCGATGTAGAGGACCTCCGTATTGAAGTAGCCTTCGGTTTCTTCGTTGAAATCCTGGAATAAGGGCCCCTTGATCCACTCGGCGTACCAGACCAGTTCGAGGAGGTCCGTGATCACCTGCGACAGGTATTCGCCGAAGATTCCCGGGATCTTCATCAGGGCGATGAGACGCGATGCCGTACATTCTAGGTCCTTGGTGGGTGGAATTATGGGAGCCATGTGGGCTGGGCGAGGGTCGCGGACGAATGGAAAGATGGGCTTGGTGAAAGCCATACAAGCGACGCGAATGTCCGTCCTTGCCGAGAGAGTTAGTCGGTCGGTCTGATTACTCGGAATTTGAACCTTACCATGAGATTTGGTAGCGGACGTCGGGAGGAACGTCGGTAAACTTATTCCTCATGCCTACCATCTGTCGCAGGCCCGCGAGGTGGACTTTCAGGTAGTCGGGGTTTCCAGATGCGATCTATTCGAGCGATGAGAAAATGTGTGAGACGAATGGTCAGTGTACAACATACCTCGATTGTCAGCAGCATTGAAACCGCAGCAATCAGCTCGTCGCTAGAGGCTTTGACTGGATCCGAAATTCCCTCGTTGACCAGTCGAATTGTTTCTCCTCGATGATGGAACGTGTCCAGCAGCAGCGGGCTCGAGCCTCGATTGTTAGGATCAACAAGAGGAAACTCCCCCGTGTGCAGCGCTGCGTTGGATGCCGCAACGCAGATCGAGGCGTGCAGGGAGGCAGGATCGCTCTGAATCAGCGAGGCCCAATGGGCCTGCAATTTTGGCCCATATCGCCGCTGAAGAGGATATGCAATATGCGTGAGATCAAATAAGACTGCAGGACAACAGATCAGCTCTATTCCTTTACCCACAGCCCGGAGAATGAACTTACAGCGTTGCAGATGTCGAAACATGCGATCCGTCAGTTGTGTGTGTGCCGTATTGAATGGGTCTTGGTGGGCGCCATGACCCAGGTACATTGTCGGTGATGGGATCGACGGGATCGGAGCAGCTGCATAATTATATGACGGCGTGCCAGCGCTAGAGGCGCCAGCAGTCGTCGTGACTGCTGGATATGTAGGAGCGCTGGTCACAGCCAGGCCATTATTATTGCTATTGTTATTGTTACTCAGTCGAGCTTGCTGCTTTCCTCGGCCAGCGGAGGACGCTTTTACAGACGATCTCCCCGGCGGGGGAGGCATGGGACCTATGGCTGCGGCGCTGGGGCCTGTTGCTGCAGGTGCTGTCTCCACCGGCTGGAAAGCAAGATGCTTCCACGTTTTACTCTTGTAGCGCTTGGTGTTCTCGAGCCTCTTTTTCCGATTATGCTCGGACATGACATGCGAGCGAATGCGCTTCAGGGTGTCCTCGCGCGTCCCCTCGGACACCGATTGCTGGTCGCTGTTGACCCAGAACAGAGTCGACCGACCCCCGGACGCATTGTCGGCCTTGCGCGGTTTGCGGGTTTTTGGTGCAGGGGTCTTGCCTACATGTTGACGGGTTGCGTCGGTCGGTGTCGGGGCCGTTTGTTGCTCATTGATATACGGCGCCGTTGACGACGACGGTGGGGGGACCGTCCGTGTCGACGTCTGTGCAGGTGCAGATGCAGGTACCGTGGCAGGTAATGAGACAGGGACAGGCGCCGAGACAGGAACAGGACTCCGATAAGATACTGGAGGGGGAAGAGAGGGATCCTGTGGCGGCCACGGGGGATGGGCAGCCAGCTGGATGGGAAGCACCTGCTCGCGCTGAGGGGCGGAAGACACTGCCGGCGGCTGACAGGGTGGCAGCTTGGCATCCATGGCTTCTTCTTTTCAGGCAGGAATGGCGCTCAGGCGTAATCTTCACAATCGTTCTAGCGGAAGATCCTCACAGGGGCTTCATGGTCCGCGCGAACAAAAAAACAACAAAGAAGGAAAGCTGGGGTGGGAGAAGGAGGGACAGGAGAAAAAAACCGAAGGGGAATCGCTGAATGGCCAGCGCACTGCCCTTATCAGGAAAAGTCCATGGCGCAGAACGAGAGGAATCAAGTGGAGGGAAGGGGAAGATGGTGGGAATTTCGGGGAGACCGAAGCAGGGCCAATAACGGGGGGAATTGGAACCAACAGTCGGGGACGAATACACAGTAATTGGAGGAAGGATGTGATTGATCTAAGAGCTAAGGACTAAGGCCATGTACCTGAGCAGTTGGTTAGTTAGTTTCTTACTCCGTACTGTTAATTAGTCCGGACGTGGATACTACCCCGACGGGGGCATTCCGACCAGTCGATGACTTACTGGTAGAAGCTTGATTGTTATGTATCCACCGAAGTGTCCGGACGAGCACCATCATTCCATCTGGCCAATCTGGTCAATCTGGCCCAAACAACTTTTGCAGTTTGCACTCGTTGAGAGGACGGACACGGGCAAGGGCCAGAGGGGAGAGTGGAAGCAAAAGCAAAAGCAAAAGCAAAAGCAAAAGAACCACGGAGGAGCACATCATTCTCCACCCTCCGATCGGTCCAGTTCGGTCGCTCCGTCGGTCTCGGCCGCCGTAGCTCTGAGTACTGCTGTCGTACATCCGAGCACACTTCGGCCTTAACGGGTATACGACAAGGCTGGATGTATTCCATAACTAGTAGGTGCTCAAGTTAAGGAAATCTACTGAACCTCAGTTCTAGGAGTACGGTGTATATTCACCAGTGTCTTGATTACAGTCCCAGTCCCTCACTAAACTAGTCCTCGGCTATCGCTACATGGTTTGACATGGCCGCCCGCGCTGCGAGTCGGCCGTCAGATGCATAGAATAATTCACCTAAATACGAACGGGAGATGAAAGAAAGATAAAACAAGCTCGAAAGAAAAAGATAAGAAAGCAGAAACAACTCTACCCGCTGAGACCCTGTCATTCCCAAGGTCATACTCATCGTCAATCAGCGTTTCGAGAAAGATAAGAGAAAAAGTCGTGCTACATCATTCCGGGTCGTGGGAAGACGGGCACGGTCCCCAGACTCTCGTAGCCTCCCATGGTGCCTTGCTGGCTGCTCTGCCACCCCTGGCCTGTCTGCTGGTTCACAAAAGCACTCTGACGGAATGGGTTCGTACTGCCGGTGGGATTGGGACGAAGGGGCGCCGCCGCGGGAGCCTGCAACCCTTGCGACTGTTGTGGAGGAACGGAGGAACTTCGAGCGAAGGGATTAGTTCCCGTTCGCTGAGGTTGCAATTGCTGGACTGGCGCTGGAGGCGCTTGAGGCTGCGGAGGTTGCTGAGGTTGCTGAGGTTGCTGCGCCAACATGTCGCCGGCGTTGAACTGCGGGTTGACGGCCGACAATCGTCGCGCAAAAGGATTGGTGCTCTGTCGGTTGATCTGTGTGAGAGATAGACCCGAGCCGGTCGTCTGGCTCACTAACATTGATTGCCGGAACGGATTCGTGGTTTGCGGCTGCAACTGCTGTGGCTGCTGCTGAGGGAACGGAGAGAGATTGCTTTGCGCGTTAGGCGCAAGACCAGACTGGGGGTAGGTTTGCGGTTGAGGGGTGTAGCCACCAAATCCCGCGCCCGTCGGCATAGGTTGGAGCGGTTGGGGAGCTGGCTGCTGTGGTGGTTGACCGAATGGATTCTGGCCTGTCTGGCCAAAAGCGTCCCCAAAGGCCCCGGGCTGGCCGTAACCCATCGGCTGAGGCTGTTGCTGTTGGAAACCGGTTTGCTGCGGGTAGAGTCCCCCTGGCTGGGGTTGCTGTTGAAAGCCGGTCTGCTGGTATTGCATCGCCTGCGGTTGCTGTTGAAACGGTGGCTGTTGCATCTGATGAGCTGCCAAATGCTGCTGTGCCGGCTGTTCGATGGAGTCAAAGAAGTCTATCAGATCCGAAGGGTTATCCCTCTTGGTCAAACTAGGGTCGGCGGTTTGAGGTCGCGCCGGCGCGGGCGCGGGATTAGGATTGCTGGCTGCCCTAACCCCCACCCCGCCGGTGTTGTTTGCTGCGACTTTGGGTAAAGAGCCGGCGGGCTTTCCCTTTGAGAGCAGATATTCACGCCGTCGGAGATCGAAATCCGGATCGTTCAAGTCGTCCTCAAGCAGCCGGGTTAAGTCCGTGGACGCATGCTTAAGTTTGGGGATTTCGAGGCGCGTTGCTGATTGAAAGTGCCTGGCAACGCCGAGGAATTTGACCACTTCCTCGGTCTGCGCTGCAAATGTCTTGTATATATCAAGTGCCCGCTCGCTATCAGGCCGGGACATCTCGAAGTAATGTTCTATTCGCAACCAGAGTAAGAACACGTCATTGTACCGCAGAGATCAAGGTAGACCTACCCAAGACGTTTATAGTACCCTCATTCATCACTGAGTAGAGGGTCAGGAGGTCTAGAGTCAACAGCCGGAAGGCTGTGAGGGTGATTTCATTTTCAACCTCATCCGTCAAGAGCTTATTGGGATGGTCAGCGATGATGGTGCGGCGCCATGGCAGGAATCGACCAAACTTACATCACATTTCAACAGAGCACGGATCTGTTTCTGGACAATCTCCGTTTCTCTCAAAAGACCCTTTTCGACCGTCAGTCGTCTCATCCGCCCTTGACCGCTCCGTACATAGTCGGTCTTGGTGGTCTCGAACGCGTTCGCGCGCGCTATGAGGTAATCGGAGTATCTTCGGATATTATGCCCTTGCGATTGAGCTGCACAGTGAGGTCAGTCCCCGTTGTCACACGTCAAACCCACAGCCGTTTCTCGCATACCTTCGGAAAACCCGCTGATTGCCAGCTTCCGCGGGTTTTCGGCCATGTACTGCAACGTAGCGTCCAATTGACCCTCCCTGATCATCATGTGAATCACGATCAGGGACTTGAATACTATCGTCCATGTTGAGTCACGAAGTCGCAGCTGCACTGTTCGGAAGATCTCTGCCACGCCGGCCTCGCCGGTATGCGTCGCTACTAGGATGTGCTCGATATATTTGGATTTGGGGGCTGCAAGCTGTTCGGTGGAGGCGTGTCAGTACTCCTTGTCACGCATTTGGAAAAGCAGGAAGCAAATCACGAAGTTATCTGTCACTGACTTTGACTTTAGTGGCCCCCTTCACAGATTTCTCAAAATTGCCGGACATTGTTGGAGGGAGGTCGGGTCTCCGCGATTAGGCCGCGATCGGGAGAATCAGGAGGTTATCGCGAGGTGTCCAATTCGGGGCGGAGGGGAGGAGGGGAGAGGGGATAAAGCGATCGGGAAATCGACGGCGAGATACGATGGCTATCGCGGTGTTCGAAACAATAAACTGTCCTCGCCAGCACCAGAAACTGCAGTCATGATGGCTCAAGCCATGATGCGGGAGGTGGTGAGACTTTGAAGGCGGCCTGCAAGGAACGCGGCGGGGGGATTTGGAATTTGGGAAACAAAAGCGAAGATAAGTCCAACGATTAGGTGGAGAACTCCGAACGACAAGACTCTGACAATGACAGAGCAACCGATCGATAAAGAGTAGAGCGTAGGTCCCAGGAATGCAAGGATTGAACGGTGATTGGAGAGTTGAGGTCGGGGGAAGTTCAGGCAGTTTGTCGGTGGTCCCAAGCCAAGTGGAAATTCGGTGGAGCTTCTCTCCGTCCCCGTCCCAGGTAGCTATCCGCCTTAGCTAGCACGAGTTGCCTCTGCGCTTGGTCTCTTGTATGTCCAGGTTATGCACTGATGCAGGCAATTAAAATTGAAGTGGTGTCGGGATTAATTGATTGATGATGTTTGTAGATTGACGATGGAGTCTCATTGCGACAACGGTTGCGGAGACAGACCGTTGAGGCTCTTGTCAGCTGATATATTTTCTCGCGCTGCCTCGTCCACAGTCCGGTGCATACTCCGGAGTATTCACTTCACCAAGACTAACACAGACATGATGTTTCTACTCTTATTCACCAGTGGTGATAGCTATCTGCTTCCTACATGCAGCAACAACACTTTACCGCTAAACAGAAACCATGCCTTGGTTTTCATCTTATCTCGAGAGACGGACTACTATCCCATCTCTTTCTTCGACATCATCTTCTCATCTCACCTTACTCCTTCACTCTATTCACTCCACCCTTCAGTTCATCTTTGATTCTCTATTTGAGCCCCCTGATTCTATTACTTCTACATAACTCTTATCTCGACCTTCTTCCTATTTACGTTCAGCCATGGACTGGGACAGACCACAGAACAAGTGGACGACCGAGCAAAGGTTATTCCTTTGCTGCATGGTGAGGTTTTTTCACAGAGAGAACCATGCCTTTTCCAGGATATTCAGCAGTTCATTTGAAGCTCAGCTCCGGCAGAGTGGTTATACGACTGATATTTCATGGCGCACACTTCGTTTCCAGTGGGAGACTATGAGGCGTTCTGGCAACTACCTATGGGGATCTGTTCACCTATCACCTTTTATAAAAGATGGATCTGGTACCTGGTATCCGATTATTAGGAAAATCAAGCACATTGCCCAGCGATTAGGTATCGATCTTGTTGAAAAAGATGAAGATGATACTGATACTTCGAAATACTTTCCCCAGCCACCTAAGGACCGGGGATCCCATGGAACTACTACTACCACCACCGAAGTAAGACCATAGCAATGTACCTATTCCTCCGATACTTTAACTAACCGTCTATTAGGATGTTACGGGACCTGGTTCACAGGCTGAAAGAGAGAATAAATTTAACCAGCCCACGGCCCGTGCAACTGACGAGACTGATCAGAATCAAGAAGTCCCTATACTTGTCACTGCGGGGGGAAAGTTTTGTCTCTTCTGTTTTCAAGAGTGTAACATGCACCCGGACCTGCAAAGCCCAGCGGATGAAATCCCACCCCTCCTCTATCGGTGGTCCAACGTCGATAGTCAAGGTGTCAATTCCAGAAGACTATTCCAAGCTGGTCTTTTCGCTGAAGGTACCGACTACTTTCATCCAAACGAGGTCCCACAGGACGTTTTCAATAAACATGTGGAAAACCATCTTAGAATAAAGAGGTCTGTTACCCCTTTCATTTCTACATTCAAGATGATGTTAGCGCCAATACATCACGCCCTGCGAAACGAAGAGGGAGCTATCGTCTCAATCATTGATCGAAGGAAGCTATCGACACCTATCTACTATGCCCAGAGCCTTGTAAAGACACTGGACCTCAGGTTCAGTTTTTACAACGGAGTAGCGGAATATCTCGTCTGGGGCAATATCCCGAAGTCAGCTATTATTTGCTCTTTTAAAGCTACTACTCTTCTGAAAATTGCTCGCGAAACCCCCGAGTTCGAAGACTTATTACAGTTTGACAGTATTGCATCCTTCCGAAGCAGTGGCAAAGCTTTACACCGAGTTCTAGGAAGCGGACCAGGGAGATTAAATCACGAAACAGGTACGATACTTGGGAGATTTCTCTTTCAGCTAGGAGTCCCTTACGAGAACTGTCAGACTGTCAGTTATGGGATGTACAATTCATGGTGGATGAAAAGGGGCGGGGGAAGCTTGGAAGAATTCTACAGAGGCGTGGAAGAAGGATATTACGCATTAGATCAACATCTAACTCCTGCACCAACAATGGCAAGCACTGAAGATGAGGAAATTCCTGAAAATGAGGAAATCCTTGGAGCCGAGGAGATTCCTGAAGATGATGATATGTTTGAGATGTCTGAAGTCTCTGGATTCGAACCCCCCGAAACCCCCGAAACCCCTCAAATCTCTGAAGCTTGTGTTGAAAGCCCCGGACTCCCTGTCAATTGCCAGGTTTCTCTGGTTTTGAAAATCCCTCAACCCTCTGAGATATTTGTTTTCTCTGATCATTTTGATAATTTCGAAGGCCCTGGATTCCCTGAACTCCCCGAAGCCCATCAATCCGACGATGAAACCGTGACCAATGATGATCCGCGCACCTCTATTGATCTATTTTCGATGCCTAGTTCTCCAGTTCCATCACCGTCACAGTCCCCGCTCCCCGTCATCAGACTCTTCAATGGAGCAACCAAGCAGTGGATAGCTCAGCAAGGTGACGATACTCCCCCCTCCAGATTGCCAGGTTCATCCGCACATACCCCAATCAGCGTCGACTCTGATGATGAGTTCGATGTGATATTCAGCGGATGCAAAAGTGAATCTTCCGTGTTTGGTTCATCGCCCCCAGCTGCCTTGAATGAGTTGAGTCTCGTTCCTGATGAGAAGACGAAACCTATTGTGACATTGGAGAACGACAATCAGATTGGACGCCGTTTGGTTGCGACACCCACCCCTCGTGATCGCTTCGCCGCGGATAGAGAGCGAGTTCTACACTTTTGGAGGTGATTTGGGTGAGGCGGGCTACACTCTTGGAGATGTGTTGCGAAACGTGAAAAGGGAAGAATGGAATTGTGAAAGAGAGGGACGAAAGTGATGTTGAGAGTAGGGATGAACCAGAAAAGCAGCATTCTTGTGACCTGAATGTATGCATGGAGAAAAAAAGGGAAATCAAAGATGAAACGGATGCATGATAAGAAGAGTCTACGAATGTCGAATCATCAGATCAGAGAGATACTCGATCGGCACTGAGCAGTTAGAAAAAGAGAAGAAAAAAAGATATGGATACAATCGACATGATCTGGCAATAAACGTCGTGATAAAATAAAAGCTCCAAACTGAGAGCGTCCTGCATAATAATCCCTAACTTTTTTTCTGAGTGGCCCGCAAGCACTACGGCGGAATCCTAATCACAGGGGGAGGATCGAAAAAGCTTTTTTTATTTCATTGGATATCTCCTCAAAGGGTACCTGGGACATGAAATCGTGAAACAATCCCAACCCGTTAAACTAGTTCGCTTATATCCATTCACGCCGCTGCCCTAGGTTATTTCAACCTTTCGGAAACACCCCCTTCAACGTCGACACGCTTAGAACTTGCTGAAAGCCTTGACGGCCTTACCGGTACGGGGCAAGACACGCAGGGTGTTGAAACGGACCTAAAGAGGGAAGGTGTTAGTTGATTTTTGCATGATGAGTTATAAGAACGAAAATCGGGTTTCCCATGTAGCCTTCAATCGCTGCACGTTGTCGCTTGGACACGGAGAATGCGCGCAGCAAATTGAAGACTCTGGTTCTCGCCGATCTCGAATTTCAAGGTCTGCACATACGGTCTTGGACAGGGGACGGCACTGGCCGACGGTAACCCAGTCACCCTCCTCAACACGGAAAGCGGGAGAAACGTGAGCAGCAAGGTTCTTGTGGCGCTTCTCGTAACGGTTGTACTTGGGGACGTAGTGGAGGTATTCACGGCGGATGACGATGGTACGGTGCATCTTGGTAGAGACGACACGGCCGGTCAGGATACGGCCACGGATGGAGACCTGACCAGTGAAGGGGCACTTCTTGTCTGTTGGGCCAAGATTAGCGATTTGTCCGTCATTTCGGATGAAGAGTCAAGAAATCTGATCCGATCGCGGGGAGGTGGTGGAAAATGAGAATCGATCGATATTGCGCCGAGTATCAAGGATGTCGAAAACTGGTGGGGTCGGAATTTTCTCTCTTTTTCTTTCTTTGCTTCTTGGGTCCCATTTGTTTCGAAGCACTTTCATCCATCGCCAGTGAAAAATCCGCTGTAGTTCCAAACCAGTTCGTTCATCCCAGAATACTGTCGCGGTATCGTCGTATTCTCATTTCCAACCTTCGGAGAAGGCTTGTCGTTTTCCACCATCCTCCACTCCCCGAATATCAAAATCGAAGATCCCGAGCGACAAAAAAACATAAAACTTCAGCGTAGGTCCTGCATACCGATGTAGTTGCCCTCAATGGCGTTCTTGGGGGTACGGAAACCCAGACCGACGTCCTTGTACCATCTCCGGCCCTGACCGACCTTCTTGCTCTTGGCCTTGGTCTTGGGGTTGACGAAGATGTGAGGCTGCTTCTGGAACGCACGTTCCGACTGGACGGTCAACTCGGTCGCCATTGTTGCGAGAATTCAGTTCGACGAGGAAGCGGAGTCGAGCTGGGTTGGGGTATTCGTCGCGAAGGGGGGTGTCGGGGCTTGCGGTGGTCGACGTCGATGTTGAGAAAGAATTATTCGGCGGTTAGCGGGATTATTCAGTGTGGTGAGTGTGCGATGGCGACACTAGGCCCGATCGGGGATGGCGCTGGTTCGGCTAGGGCTTTTTTTGGTTTGTTTACATCCGGAGATCACATGAGCGCCGGCCGGGAGACGCGCCGCCACCGAGGAGTCCCAAGTAGGCAACTTGTTGTTGGTTCGGGTGAACGTCGCAACTTCGCATCCTGTCTCTCGGAACATGCTGTCTGGCTGGTTGCGCGACCTGTTTACACCTTCGATCCTGTGGGGCTGAACCTCAACTGCTCTCATTAATAACCCTCCCTCGCCCATTTCCACTGTCTATGATTCCCCTGAATCGCCATCTCCGAAATGGCGTCCAGAGGTGGCTCCGCGGGGTCCGCTCGTCCGCGATCTCGTCGCTCCATCGCCCATGTTCCCCGATCTAAATTGACGGCTGGACTTGAGAAAGAAAATACTATCGCCGACATCAGCTCCTCGCAGCCTGTTGCACGGTTCGCGAAACTGCCGGGTAAAGATAAGAAGTCCCGTAGTAAGAGCTTGGGACCGGGCGGTTTAGATGCGCTCCAAGACTCCAATGGCAACCGACGCAAGGTACTGCTTCCCACCCCGCCATGGCACTTTACCATGTTTCTGTTGCAGATGAACTGACTAATCGTTATTGCCGCACAGTCGACCGCAGCTTTGCCGCTCAAGTCTATCCTGAAGCCTACTGTTCCCGTGTCTCCAGTTCGCAATATACCTTCGTTCGAAGAAACGCGCAAACGAACCCCCGCCAGAGGCGCGCCCCAGAGTAACGACGGCCGAGGTGCGAACAATGGTAGTCAAGGCCTGCTGATAGATCTCGATACCCCCGCCCAACCTTCAGCGCCGTCGAGCTCTGAAGAACGCGCCAACCCGTTCGATGGATTCAATGCAGAGGCGATTCGCGATGAAATGGCCGCGGTGAGAGAACGGGAAGAACAGGAACGACGGGAACGAGAACGGAAAGCAATTCTACAACAGAGAGAAGCCCGCCGCAAGTCTATGGGTGCGTCTCGTCCGCTGCGCAATTCTCAAGACTTCTACATACTGACATATGATCATAGCAAACCGCCGAGTATCTTTCGCGCCCGAGGCAACATTGCACACATGGAATGTGGTGGAAATTCCCGACGACTCGACTTCTTCCTCTACTTCGAATTCTACCCGACGCGCCTCGAATTTAGCGAACACCGAAGCACAAGAACCTGCACAAGCGCCACAAGCCGAACCGGCGTCATCACCTAACAGCTATGCCGAGTCCGACATTGCCTTTTCTCCCGTCCAATACCCGGACCTTGAGCGACTGAAAAATGGCCCAACGCACCCCGGATACGATGCAGTGGGATCGTCTCAAGATATGTCATCAAGTCCCTTCAGCGGAAGCTCCATGGATGGCACGGAAGACGTTGGGATGCAGGATTCTGCTAGGGACGATGATGACGATGACGATGACGACAACTCGTCTACCTCCGGCTTCGAGGGAGAAAGCACAGCGATGAGCTTGGACGATATGACGGTGCGGTCCGCCGCGACAGTGCAATCCGATGCCTCTGAGAGCACCACCTCCAGTAATCGGTTAAACGACGCTCTACGACAGGCCGCTCGAGAGGCAGGAACGCAAAGCTTCGATGACGACGAGGACGGAGACATGTCGATGGAAATTGCCGACCAAGAAATAACTGGAGCGTTTCAACCTTGGATCAAGAAGGGTGAGAGACAAAGTTTTGACTGGGAAGACATAAGTGCCCGCCACGACCAGGAAAATGTTGAGCCGGCCAACCCAGCCGAGGATGACAACGCGTTCACCGATGCGGTTAGTGAGATGGGAGAAGATGATCTCAGTATGGAGGTTACAAACGCCATTGGAGGTATTCTCTCTAAGTCACCTGGTCGTCGTAAGAGCGTCGCCCGTCGCAAGTCCACATCCGAGGAGACCAGCTACGACGAACAAACAATGGAGCTCACCAACGTGGTGGGAGGTATTGCACAGGCCCCTTCTCCTGCGAAATCTATCGGTGCCGAAAGCAATAATGAGGACGAGGAGATGACTATGGAGTTCACGTCTGTTGTCGGTGGAGTGCTGAAGAAATTTGCTCCGGGTTATAACGCCAATGAGGAAAACAGCGCCCAGCCAGAATCTGCTGATGCAGAAGTTCAAGGGCAGAATTTGTCTGGATGGGATAATGACGACGACGCCATGGAAGAAGGCACAGAAATGGAGATAACTGGGGCTGTTGGCGGCATACTTCCAGCAGATGAAGAGCCAAATGACCTGTCGCAGGAAGAAGAAGGAGGCAATGATGCCGACGCTGATGATGATGATGATGATGATGACGAGGACCAGACCGCTGGTATGGAAGTTACCACAGCGATGGGCCAAATCCTGCCCCCTGAAATGGAAGTCGGTGACAAGGATCAAGCGAAAAAGGTGATGGAGATGGAATCCGACGCCGGTCACCTGGGTAGCTCTCCCTTCCAAGAAAGCGCGCGACAGTCTCCCGCCAAATCCCCCGTCTCTTTTCACGTCGCCGCTGTTGCCTCAGAGAGTGGTAGCCCTAGCTTGGCAAGTGTACGCTCTCGACGAATGAGGCAGAGCCTGAGCCTTGGGGCGCCAAATACGCCAACTTCTCAAACGCCTGAGATGCCACCATCAAAGCAGTCTGTAACGCCTCCCAAACAATTGACGCCGCAAGTCAGTCGCCCAGAGACCCCCGGCAAAACTCCTCCATCAAGTAATAGGAAGTTCCCTAGTGCATCTCCCAAGAAGTTGTTCCAACCCGAGCTTCAAGAGTCAGTTAGCAAACCAAAATCACCTGGCCGCAAAAGTCTGTTTGGTGCCAGTGCAACGGGAGAATCGACGCCTCTCTTCATTCTTCAGCCCCATAGAAAGAGACATTCCTCCGGGCTTGGAATCGATAAGGAAGGGCTTGGATCTCCCCGGGTGGCGGCTATGTTGGACAAACGTCGAACAATCGGCGATGAAGCCCCGGAGTTCGTTCCTCAGAAACAATCGCACCAGGGAGTGCGCTTCGAAGATCCTGTGAAGCTCCACGAAGAAGTTGACCGCGAGCGCGAGGAAGAGGAGAACCGAGAGGACGGTCACATTCCACCTCTTCAAGACGCGACAGCCAATTTGAAAGACATGATTTCAAGCCTCACGCCAAAGAAAAACAAACTCAAAGGCCGGAAAAGTCTACATGTCGGTGCAGCTCGTGGTCTTCTTGGAAAACGACCGGCAGAGCTGGATCAAGACGATGAGGAGCTGGACAATACCCCTAAACGTTTGAGGAGTGCTCAAGCCAGCCCGGTTAAGAGCATCAAACTTCCTGCGCCTCCGACGAAGGATGAGACCGTGGGCCGTCGGTCGCCTCGGAAGACCATTGGCACATCAACACCCTCCAAGTCACCTCTGAAGATGACTACGACGCCTACCCAGGTCACACAGAACGATCGAGTCGCTGAGGATCACGCGGAGGCTGCTACGCCCCGTGCAGAGCCGGCAGATGACACACCTGCCGAAGATCCTGGACCAGAGTTCGACCCTATCCAGCTGCAGGACTTTTTGAACATGACCAACATTCATTTCATGGAGCTAGACACCACGAAAAGACGCCACACGATTGCTCCTGATAGTACCCGTAAAAGAGCGGCTAGACTTTCCAGCGATGGTGATCGGTCCAGCGCTGCCAATTTTGAGGACTGCGTTGCTGCTGGCATCTGCACCGTGCCAATGCTGGAGTTGTATCAGCATGTAAGCTTTACCATGTTCCATTTATTGACAATATATGCTAACGTGCGCCTTAGTCGTGTCGGGAATTGAAATCGTACATCTCGGAGGGCAGACAGGTCATTCGCTCCATCGAGACGGAGACCTTTGCCGACAATCCACCCCTTTTCCGGGAGTACATGACAGCGGCTCCTGATATTCGTCTATTGATGGATAACCAGTTCCGAAACGTGAAGACTCATGCTCGGCTTCTCAGTAAAGCTACGTGGTATGAGTGGCGGATGAAATTGCTCGAAGGCTTGAAAGAGGGCCTGAACGGCCATGTTGAAGAATTGAAGGCCGATGAAGATCGTCTGTCGAAACACGAGACGCTCCTAAATGATATTGTGCCTGCGCTTACCGAGAAGCATGCTGCTCTTGAGGGCGAGGCTACGACCTTGCAGCAATTGGCCGACGAAATGGAGAACTGTGACCAGGAGGAGCTGCGCGGTGCCCGAGAAAAGCTCTCCACGATTGAGGAAGAGATTGAAGCGAAGAAAAAGCAGCTGAAGCAGATGCAAGCCGAGGTTCAAGAGAAGACTAATACCCTTGAAATCGGTGCGGAGGCTAAGGCTGAGTTTGTGGCTCAAATCGAAGAAGCGGAGAGGGTTAAGGCAGAATGTCGTGGATGGAATGCGAAGGAGATCAGCGAACTGAAAGGTAGGTTTGTCTGAGAACGATGTATTGGACAACTTGCTAATTTTCTCAGACTCGGTACACAAGATCGAGCGCCAAACAGGCTGGTCGATTGTCTCCGCGACATCGTCTTCCATGTCGCCAGGCCCGGTGGTCACAATGTCCTATCGCGCACAGCTCGATCTCACCTTCCACCCCGGTGCCTTCTATAGCGCCAACGATGCCGAACAATCTTCTTCCAACTCCGACGAGAAAATGGGTGCCCCCATTGAACTGAAGTATCATCCTCGCAACGGCGCCAAGGCCGCAACTCAACTATCCAAGCTCTCGTCCATTGCACTACTCGTTTTGAAATCCCTGCAGAACCACATTGCAAACCTCAGCCAGCCCAAAGTCGCACCGAAGCACCTCCTCCACTTCATCTCCGAGGCATGGGACCTCATGCTCAATCTCGAAGAAGAGGCCCGCATGCTAGAATTCTGCGGCGTCACGAAACTCAAACTGTCCGAGTCCGACGACCAACCCTCCCTGCGAGCCCGCTGTACCATCCTCCAAACCCTCCCAGCCGGATCTAAATCCACGACAAAGGCCCCGAGTGCATCGGGACCTCGGAGAATCGACGTCGACTTCGCAGTCAAGACGCGCGTGATCTCCCCTGCCGACTCTGCACCCCTCGGGTCCGTCGGCGTCCTCGATTTTGAGACCAACGTCCTCGCTAGCAAGGTCTACGGTTTCCAGAAAGAGAGCGGCATGTCCGAGCCGGAAATGCAGAAACTTCTATCTAAGGAACTCGGTGCCAAGAGTTCCGGCCTTCAGCTTGGTGGAGGAGTCTGGAGTAAAGCCATTCAGATGCTTACCGGAAAGGCCTTCTAGTGAGGCACTTCTATCTTTGGTTTTCAAGTTTTCAAGATAAAGCTTTATTTTATGGAAAGGGAAAGGAACCGGAACAGGAAACCGGAACGGAGTTTCTAGGCACTGGGTTTTTCTTTTCTTCACCTCCCAAGTTGTTTATATCTTTTCTTTCTTCATGAATCATTCGGGTTTTCTGGGTTGGGGTATGGGAGTAGTTAGTGTGGGTTTAGGGTTGCGAATTTCTGTTTCATACCTATGTTGACTAGCTATGGTTATTGCTGGCTTGGGATCTTTATTAATTAGCGTGTGTTTGTTTGTGGGTTTGCTTCATGGATATTTATTTCTTGTACAAAGAATTGAAGTGAGATTCTATCTTATATTTCAATTGGCTGATTACCATAAAAAGGTACCTAGCCCTATTTTATGCCATCTTTGAAGGTGCAATAACTACCAGGCTCCATAAAGTTGGTTAGGACTGCATGCATAAATAAGGCCTTCTTCCCCTTAGTTAGATCTCCAGAAACCAACTTAATCGATAGTTTGGTTACCAAAATACCCAAGTCTCCCCAGACAAACTACCTATTGGTTTGAAGACACCAGCCCCAGATAGCACAGAACTTAGGCAGCATCCCTGCTGAGACAAAGAGGTGCTTCACCCCCTACATCTTTACCGCCTGACCACAGCTCCTTGTTTGATATATTCAACCTCTTCTCCTGGCTACCTACTCTCTTCCAGCCCCTCCAAGCAACCAAGATGAGACTTCCAGTTGAGCGAAGTCCGAGCTCATCTCTCTTCAACAATCATCTAGCACCTTACCTGAAGAGACAGAGACGCCAAGTCAGGAAAACACCATGTCTCTCGATCTGTCCCTCCCTGCCACCTGCCCCGCTCTCTGTGGCTATCTCAGGTACAGCTGGGACCTGGCTGCCTTTGCTCTCTACACTCTTATCGATGTTCAATCCGACACTCTTTCAAATCTCGTGACCTTAACAAAGAGCACTACAATTATGGAAGCGAAGTACCTCTAGTCCGGCTCCCAGAAACCTACAACCTCGCCGGCCGGATACTCAAAGACGTCGTGCAAGCCCACGTCGACTTGGACAAGGAAGCCACCCTCGACCCTAACCTCCGCGTTCCAGGCTATGAATACTCAGCCATCGGGGACGTAGGCTTTTATCCGACGGCGTTTCTCGTGGTCACGACCCCGAACTGGGACAACGAGGGTGTGCCGTTTGTGTTTATGGACGATACCGATGTCTCGGAGAATGAGGACACTTATCTAGATCCGGAGGTGCGGCCGATGGATAAATTCTCCATGCCGCTTGACGAGGCACAGGGGTTGCTGGAGAGTTTTAGTCTCAGTAACTTGGGAATGCTCGTCGCAAAGGAGCAATATGGCCTTGAGCAGAACGCAAACCGCAAGAACGACGGAGACGAATATCCTGAGACTGAACCACCTGAGCGCGAAGAAGATATTGATAACGATGAAGACGATGTTGGCAACGATGAAGCGGCTGCTGGTAACAGTTGCTTCTACCGCCTCAGTGATGGCGAAGTCATCTTTGCTCCTGGTGGTGCATCAATAGGTGATGAGATCTTTTGTACTACCACGGTCAATGGCAAGCTTCAAGTCACAGAAGAACGCGTTGTCGAAGAGGTTGCGGGTTGGGATAACAAGGAAGAAAGTGCTGGTAATGGCGAAGATGTTGATAACAGGGGAGAAGATGTTAATAGCGGTGAAGAAGATCCTGATGTCTGTGTAGATGCTGGTGATAGTGCCTACTACCGCCTCAGTAATGGCGACGTCGTCCTTTTCCCCGGTGGTGCATCAGTGGGTGATGAGGTCCTTATACCTACCTTCACCCATCCCGGGCTTGACGTTCGCGTATCTCACGTTGTCGAAGAACTTGTGGACTATGAAGAGTAGGTGTTCTGGATGCCCGAGGTTGCAATCGGCTAAGCATTCGACTTGCTTAACCTCTCCATGGCCGGTTTCATGTAGGGGAGGACCTCTTCCCCATAAACCATCTCCCTGATCATCCATCTCATCTAGTTGAAATAGTTGAGTTCATTCACCCCCTTTGGAGTTATTCAAATTCGCAAAGAAAAATCTATACCTATTCTCCATGTATTTTATGTGTAAATCCATAGCTTGCTTATTTATGTATGTTCGTACTATATTTATTTAACACTAGCTGAATATATAGATTGATTTATTTGATAATTATCGTCACTCGTGATACTCGCCCACTTCGCCCTTTTCTAGCCTCCTTGGTGCCTTGCTTTTGACCTTTCAATGCATGACCTCTTATGTACTGTGCTTACTGCAAAGAAGAAACAATATAAATCAATACACCTAACCACCAAGTCCCGACTCTAAAATGGATCAAAAAAGGGCCCATAAGACCACATCGGCTGCGCGGGTGCCCCGAATGGTAGACCGCCTCCTCCTCCCCCGTCTGGGAACCCGAATCCCATGTTCATGGGCGCTTGAGGCGGTGGCTGAGAATGAGACATATTCCCCGTCCCGGATCCTGATCCTGTGCTGGGATTTCCGGGAACTTCTCCAAACCCGCCGGCGCTCGTGCCCGGAGGACCGAAAACGCCGCCCCAGAATTGGTTGCCGAGTTCCCAGTCGGCGGTGAGAGGGATTTGCCAGAGGTCGGGGGCTAGATTGTCGCTGATGGAGAAGGGGAGCATGCTGATGTTTTCGAGAGAAGATGAGGAGGTGGTGTTGTTGTTGGTGGGCGCGGAAGGGATGGAGGTGTTGAGGGGGATGTTGGTGTTGGTGTTGTTGTCTGGAATGTCGCTGGGACTGTCCGGGACGACATAGCCCGAAGAGTTGATGCGCGGGAGACCCTCGAGGTTGGGGATGCTGACGCCGGTGGATATGGATGGATGAACGGCGGGAGAAGTAGACGTGGAGGATCGTTCATCATCGTCCGACGCTGCGGTGTCTGACGCTTGACCTGTCGGGAGCGACCGCTGATCCGAGTGGCTTTTGTCGCCGGGTTTAACTGTTCTCTGTTCTCGGTCAAGCACCATGCGAGCAATCCTATCGAAATTGGCGCACATCCGCGTCATGAACCGTGCGTAGGTGCAGGGTCTGTCGCCGGGAATGAGAGTTGCGAAGAAAGTGGCAGCCATGTTCAAGGATTGAAGGTCCTCTTTGTTATCGGGGCTTTTGGGGTCACGAAGGATGCTGACGAAGATCGTCATGACTGCGAGGAAGATGTAATAGAGTAGAGACCTGGAATGGTATTAGTACATAAAATTTCAAGTGCATCAACGCCGTGACGTACCATATCCATGCCACGTCGCCCCATGGTAGGTTGTTCACCAGTTTCAACGTGTCCCGGGCAGCCTGGGCGCAAATGACAGTCGAGGCAGACGCCTGGCTTAAAATCATCATGGAATCCGGCTGTACTCGACCTCCGCTTGCGAGTCGATGCATGTAGGCAAAGTGAATGACAAGAGGCAGGCGATGAATCATGATTAGGCAATTATAATAGACAAACTGCAGACCGGCGCAGGCAAACCCCATTAGAAAGTCATCACCTGCTCCCCGCTGCTTCAGGTTCTGTTGACTAAATGGGTCTGCGCTCTTCCATTCTTCGAGCTCGGTGTGCAATTCTCTCACAATTTCGCAAGTCTCCGTTGGAGATTTGTTATGGAGTGCCTTAGCGGAATAAAGCTTGGAGTAAATTCGGCTCTTGATCACAGTCATATGGCATAATTGTCGGAAAAAAGACAAGTTGTTAAACGAGACGAATTTGTCCTCGGCGGTTTCTGAAGGAAACCCTACGTCAAAATCGTCAGGATGTTGAGCCGGCGCGCTACCCACACGTATACAAGAGCTACATTATATCATTTAGCCATTCTGTTGCTAGCACCACTGATAGTCTAAGGACACAGGTTTGACTTACCTTTGATCGAGAATGTATGCAATCCAGAAAACCCTCTTTCTTTGCTCTTGCTCAACCGCAGACAAATGTGGCCTCGGAAGGTCACGGTGGAGGCCCATCCTTTGACACGATCTGATAGCAGCTGTGATCGTCGGTAGAGCCGACTGAGTGCCAGAGTTACCGCGGAGAAAAAGTGCCATGCCCAGAAGGGCCTGCACACTCAACAAGTCGGTTCGTCGCAAGGTCAACTCGGCGAACACCGACATGGCATTTTTATAGTACAGCCAAGCTTTTTCGCGATCTTTTTCGGACTTTTGGCTGTTGGAGAATCGATACTCATAAGCCAAAGAGAGAATGATATTGATGCTGGCCCACCGGGCTGCGTCGTCACACGTCTGCTGCGTATACTGCCATTCGACTAATTGCATGAACGTTTCTTCATGATACAGCGGGAACAAGCGGTTGACGGTGCGGAAATAGTCCCCCAGCAAGGAAAATACTTCTGCTCTGGGCGGTAAAGGTTTGAACACTTTGGATGAAAACACATCGTGGAAAACGTCCGGGCGCCAGTAGTTCCAGGGACTGTCATGATTTGTGTTGGAAAAGATGGGCGCGAGAACTGCGGCCCCGCCTGTTTTATTCTTGATCCACTCAATGCCATCGCGGGATAATATTGACAAGGAAGAACTCCGTCCTAAAAGCAAATGATTAACGGATGGTTACTCATCGGAGCAAATCTGGACAAGGTACCGTAATATCGGGAATCCTCCTTTGAGTCCCCTCTGATAGGCGGACAGCACTGTTGGGAGTTGGTGCAAGGTTGCGCACGCTTTTTACCTTTCTTAGGCTGAGTAGCTGGATTTAATGAACAGAATGGCTTGACAGGACCGGGCGTTGTGCAGGATATAGACATCGGATCTCGATCCCCGGGGATATAAGCTGGATGTCTTGTGCCTTCATCTCCTGTTAACTCGTCCGGGCTTCGCCCACCATCATTAGAAGAGTAGTCCGGGTCAGAGTCGACGTCACTCTCGACTTCCGACTGCTCCTCATCGCCGTCATCATCGCTGATGTCGTCGTAGCCTATAGCTTCTTCATCCAGGAGACCCGCGGCTATGAGCAGCGACTCCGTCTTCTTCAGTCGTTCCTCCAAGGTCTTCACATATTGCGTTCTAAACGAAGGATTTAGTAAACAGTTTCCTCTTCTGAAGGATCTATGAATAAACAGATACCTTTTCAGATTCTCTTGCTTTTCTTTTCTCGTAGTGAACTTGCACGTTACGTTACGGCGCATACATTGGATACAGGACGTGTTGGTGCCCTCGACTATGCATTTGATCTTTCTCTTGTAACACGTCTCACATGCCTAGGGGACGAGGTTTACTAAGGTGCTTCTGTAAACACAGTCAGGAAGTCATATGTCTTACCAGTGGGTTACGCCTCTGATTTGGAGCCTCTTGTCCGTTATGATTGGATCTAGTACCCTTTTGTGCGGTGGACCGGTCATCTAGAGACGGAAAGGACGCCATCTTTCTGGCGCCCAGCGCCGAATGCTGCATAGCGTTTCCGTTCGGTTTCAAGACAATGTGGCAAAGGCTGGAAGACAGCAAATGCAGGAAGAGATCCCCGTGCCAAGAACGAGGCTAAGAAAGCATACGGGGGTGGGAATTAGTGATGACGGGTCGCGGCGATGACGCTGACCTAAGAGACGAGGGCAGAGATGAAACAAATCAGAGGAAGAAACAGAAAAAGCCCCGAGCGGAGACTGCGCTTACAGCTAGCAGACAAGCCCGAGAGGAGAAAAAGATGAAGTTGCGGAGGAGCGCACAACGCAGGCGAATGACAGCGCCACACGGATCGACTGGCAAAAGTCCGGCTCCATCGATTTGTTGGGAACAGTCGGCGATCCTCAAGATTGTAGGACAGTGAATCCCACAAAGAGTAGAAAATTAAGAGGAAAAAAAAAAAGTAATACTACCTTTCTCTCCTTTCTTCTCTCTTCTTTCCCCGTTTCACCTTTCTTTTTTTTCCTGGGCGGACAACCGAGGGTCCAGAGCCATTATTAATGCGCGTCCCCTGGGATCAGTCGGAAGTCGGCATCAATGACTTCCGTCCGGTACGATGGGGCCCCGATGGATCGTCTCCGGATTTTTTATCGATAGATCAAGCAACGTCCTTTGTCCGACGTGGTCGTTCATCTGAACTACTTCCCCATTACATTCGGGGCTATGGAATTCCTGTATCTGTTCGGCATGTACGCATATCCAGGCTTCTCATCACCCCTGGCCGGGTTTCTCTTTCCCCGATCAAAACCATAGCCCTGGCGAGGCCGTAAATTTCTAAAATCAACTTTGCAACGTTCCCATGAATGTTTGATGGATCGGGAGCGACTGAATCAATATGTTGTTCCACAAAACAGGGTTAACCACAAGGGCGTATGTTCGGGAATATGGCATTCTTGCAACCGGACCGTGCTTCGGACGAGGGAAAGCGCTCCTGGTGACCCGCGTGCTGTAAAGTTTTGTTTGATGTGAACACTGCACTTCAGTGCAGGGCTTCTTGTCCGAAGACAGAAACTCTCATCCCAATCCCCATGGTTTCATGCTGGCATATCATCCCATTGCCCCGGTCGGCGGTCCTAAGTCTCGACGCAGCGACAAAGCATTATGCTCAGAGATTCTTGTGTGTAAAGCAGATAGGTCGGTATTTCCGATTCCGTCATACGAATGTCGCAACGGGCAACAATCGAGCAGGGGAAAACATAGTGCCGATGCGATGAGGGTATTCGGCAGACACGGACTGATTTCATATGATCCAGGTTCGGCTTTCTTCAAAAACCATGGCTCTGCGGGACAATCGTTAGCGTGAACGGCAGACCACGACCGAGAGACAACTCACAATGTCAACACGCTTCAGAAAGAGTAACAACAATTGCTTTGGTGTTAGTCTGATGGCTCGGGTTAGTGTGAGGCGAGCAAGAAGAAAATTTTGGATGACCCCACTTGCTCTCCAAAGAAGTGAACCTCTCTCTCCTTGCATCCAAAGCGCAATCTGTGCATAGGGTGCAGGAAATGGAAAGCAAGGACGTTTGTTGCTCATCTTCAGGGGAATAGCATTGTCACATTCCTGGATATGAAGTGATAGACGGTCAAGGTTGAAACGGAGCCGGCAGCCGCACGGATTGACGTCTGGTCACGCGAGTCCCTTGCATTGGCATGCCTGGATTCTCAGGCCGCTCTCACGCAATTCGGACTTCGTCGCACCTCGAGAAGCTGGCTGGAATCACACCATCCGAGCAGTTCCTGTCCTCATCGCGATCGGTTGGCTGACCAGCATACACAGGTGTAGTCGCAGTATCCCCCGATCAGCCAACAAGTCATGCTATAAGAGAAAGGGGATTCGTTTCATTTCTTTTTCTCGCTCAGACCGAGTCGCCAGTCATCGTGAACTGCAACTACCAAAGGACAGGGGTCGGCACGAGCGTCACACGAGGCAAATCCTGCGCCGTGTTCGTTCCTGCCACCACCTACATCAGGCATCCTGCAGACGGACACCAGGGCTGTCTGACCAACACTCTACCACTCTACCTGGCTAGCCAACGTCAGGCCCGGTCACAAGAATAGTTCTATGATACGGACACCAACCATATTATCCGAAGCCGCCACTCCATTAGGCAAACGTACGATTTCGCCAATTACCTGCTTGCCCCTGCTGTGAAGGGATCCGATTTGCGAGAGGCGAGACCGGGTAATTTGCCACGACGTTTGATATTTGGTAATAGAATCCTCGGACGTCCAACTGTCGAGGAGCGAGAACAAGGCTTTCGTAGACAGAGACCGAATCATCGTCGAGAATTTAACAAGCCGGCTAGGAGATGAAGTGGGTAAGATAGTTGCACCGGACGGGCAGGGAAAGCAATGGCGGCCCAGAGTCCCCCATGTAGTATCGATCAATAGCTCATCCACAGTTCTGGCTACGGAGTACACCGTCGGCACCTGAGACTTGAGAGTCGGGGCAGGCCCAGCACGAGATCAATAGTGGGACGAGCGAGGCTGTCAAGTGTCAAGTCAATGCGCGCCAGACTCATCGGGGTCGAAGTTTTAAGTATGCCTATGGCTGCGGACTGCACACCATAGGGAGTTTTCGGGATCGGACCCGGTTATGGATCAGGGCGAGTCTGCTTTCGCCTTTGGTTCCCGGTGGTCGGGTGCGGTTCGTGGTAGTCCGAACTTTGTATGGGTGGCATTGTTGTTCCTGAGTCGGTTGGATCCTCCAGGGGCAAACACCGGATGAAATCAGATCGAACGGCAGAAAACAAAAATAAAAAAATAATGGAAACAGGAAAGAGCATCCGAATGCTGGCCTTCGTTCACAGACAGCGGGGCAGCGAGAATTAAAAGCAGAGAGTTCCTTCAGGCACGGTTAGCAGTACAGAGTGTAGGTCAAGCCTACTCCGTAGTCTGTAGATAACGATGCTAAGCTTTGCCGAGTCAAGGCTTCACGGCTCCGATGCTCCATGCTCCATGCTCCATGCTCCATGCTCAATGCTCTCGGAGGACACTTGATAATGGACAATTGACCACGGGGCAGACCGCGTCATTGTTCCTGTCGGCGGAAGTGCGATGAAACCGCCCGAGAAGCCCCGGCGAGGGCTCGACCATCGACGACAAGGACGATGGCAGCTGGTGGAGCCAAAGACTTCCCTGTTGAGAAGTTGATATTGATCACGGACCGACCAGTGCAGTTAGTCTCCAACGGACTGTTCCGCTAGACCCAAGACGCAGAATTCTGGGTGAAATGCAGAGGGTGAGTGGGTTTAATTTAGTTTTAGTGTTTAGGCTTTTAGTTCGTGCGGTCGAGATTATCTTCGGTGGCGGAAGCTCTAGACACCTTGTCAGGAGTGTAGAGTGTAGAACGGAGTAAACAGAGGAAGGAAATACCGAAGAGGTACCGACGCGGTACCTCTGGAGGAGCGGGCGCCGTCAGTGCGACGCAAGTATTGGCAGGTACCGCCAGTCCCCCTTTTTTGTCTGATGACAAACCCCACTACGAGAAGATGACGATGCGGCGCGGGATCCAGGACAAGCACCGTACAAATCGTCCCTTCCCATTCGATCGGCTGCGTTTAAAACGGGCAGACCGGGCAGTCTTTGATCCTCCGATCTGGAACTCTTTTTTCCTTTCTTCCTCCCTTCCTTTACCATTACCATAAGGCATAATAACTGCCAGATCCCAGACAACTATACAGACTGCCAAAGCGGTGAAAGCTGACCCGAGGCCCTCGACGGACGAACCAGAAGTCGCGATCACGACATTTCTCCATTCTATCAGATCATCCGCTAAAGCTGGTAGCCTTTGGATCGCCTCTCGAACAACTGCCTCGCTGCTGCTGATTCCATCCCCAGCTCCCCTTGTCGTTGGTCTTCCCCCCCTTCGATTTGATTTTGATTTGATTTTCAATTATTTCCTGGATTTTTGTCCCGTCCCCGATGGAATTAAATCTGGTATGGTTATTTTGAATTTTTTTTTTTCCCAAATAATATTCGGCTTGATTAAATTTCATTACGGACTCGCATGATTCTGCGTAATTCCTCTCGTGTCTCATCTGTTCCTTTTTTTTCTTTTTAATTGACTCGTGCTCTCTCGCTCGTCTCCCTTTTGCGTACGTGGCTGACCCTCCCGCGTTATGCGACTTGTCGAGTGAAGGCAGTCCCGATATCCTGACCACCTTCCATCCAACCTTTCTCAATTCTGCCCTCTCTGCATCTCGTGTATCAATTTACCACTGGTTGCCCCTCTCGCCTGCAACTCCCACGCCTCATTCCCTGATCCTCCCCTCCAACTGATCTGGGGTGGTTGACCATCGGTCCAAGTGGATTCCCGTCGGTGGCATCATCTACTCCCGGTTCTTGCGTCTTTGGCTCTAAAGCCAGAAAGGCAAGGAACGTTTAAAAATAAAAAGACGCCCACACCAATCGAGCGTCTCAAATTTAGAGAGGTAATTTAAATTCAGAACAGACCAGGGAAAAAAAAGAAAAGAAAAGGGCAGAAAAAACAAAATTATTACGAACTTTGTTCAAAAAAGGGAAAAAATAAAGAGGTCGAAATTTTAAAAAAACCGAGAGAAAAAAAACAAGAGACTGAAGCCAGAGAAAAAGAGGAGCAGCGCAGCTTTTAGACGCAGCTCTAAAATCCTCCTCGCAGCCAATATGTCAGATGAGCAAATCGCTCGTCAGACTGCCTCCAGCTTCGATAAGCTCGAGAATTTCAACTTCCTTCTCTCTCGACACGATCCCGCCGCGGCCAAAAGTCGTCAGTACTCCTTCGACGCGGATTCTGCTGGCCTGGCACCGCCGCTTCAGAATTTGAATATGGACTACGATCAGACTGAGGGAATGGGCGGTCTGTCCGTCAGTTCCTACGATAGCATCGACGACGAACGCAGCCCGATCGATGTGAGAGGGTACCCGTATGGTAAGTCTGAGCTTTTTCCTTTTTCTGTCCGTTCCTCTGTTTTTCTGTTTTGGGACCCTGTGAATGAATGAGCCCGAACGTTGCATCGTTTGCGCCATCTGTCTGCCCTCTGGTTCGCGTGGCCTTAATTTGCTGTGGTCTTGCGCCGTTAGAGCGATGATGAGAGAGAGCTGTCGAATTGCTCGCATCGACTCGGCAGGGCTCCTGCTCCTCCATCTCGGGATTTTCTGGGGAAAAAGGCCCTTTTTATTCTTGACCGATGTTCTTGGGGAACTGTCCAGCTGGCTCTGGTGGAATCTTGGCCCTCCATATCCCCTCTGTAACCGCGCCGCGCCGAGGGCGTTGGCTTGCTGTTTCCCTTTCCCACCCCGTCTCCCAGGGGGAGTTCATTTCCCAATTCGTGAATCACCCATGTATGCCCATTTCTTGTGATCCCGCTGGATTCTGGTGTCATTCTCCCAGACTTCCTCGGTTTTGGTTGGTTACCCCGGGGTTCGGTGGTATTTCGAGAGAGCGCGAGCACGCAATCCCTCACGCCAATGACAACGTCGGAAACCTTGTCTTTGTCGGTCCCTTATCCGCGCATCTGCCATCGTGATCCTCATCCAAGGGTTCGATCGCCCCCTTTAATACCGCTTTGCCCGATACGATTTGCATTTCCCCTTCCACCTTATCTTCTTTTTCTTATTATTATTCTTCTTCCTCCTTGGCTTTTTGAGGCGTTGCGTTTCAAACTCTCTCTCCATCTCCATCCTTATCCACCTTCCGTTACCCTAGTTACTTACTCTCAACCTTCATCAGCACCCGGGGACAAGTCTATCAACTACTCCATACCCGACCAAATGTTGTCCTACTCTGCTCATCCGATCTATCCGCCCATCTCATATGGCCCCCCTGATGACCTGGGTCATGCCCCCGGGGCTCTGACGCCCTCGGATGTCTCGTCCTCGATATCCCCGCCGAATGGTCAAATCGGCAACACCAAATACAGCACATCACTCTCCGGTGACCACATCGTCTCCGCTCTAGGTCAGGAGGAGCATGTCCGCCGCGCCGCCGAAGAGGACCGACGACGCCGGAACACTGCCGCCAGTGCGCGGTTCCGCATGAAGAAGAAGCAACGCGAACAGACGCTCGAACGCACGGTGCGAGAGACCACCGAGAAGAACGCTAGCCTGGAAGCCCGCGTGGCTCAACTCGAGATGGAAAACCGATGGTTGAAGAACCTCTTGACCGAAAAACACGACTCCTCGAGTAGTCGCATGCCGCCTCCCGAGACGCCCACGAATCAAAAGAACAACTCCGCTGGAAGCGGGCAAAAACATATCCAGCCAAAAAAGAAGGGCGTGGGTACGGACAACTAAGAACCTAAAGGAAAGCTATTTGATTTATTTTTCTTTCATATTGAAATTGTCCAACCTTATCTGCCTGCATCACATTGTTACTCTTCAGACACGCATCAAGTCTTTTTCTTGGCTTCCTTCTCGAATGAGGCTTATATATCGGGGTTCGTTCTTGTTATCGGGGTTTCACATGGCTATGGTATCAAGTCCGGTTTCTTTTTTTTTTTCTTTTTTTTTTTTTTTTTCGCATCATCTATCTGTCTTTATATGCTCTCTTTCCTCTTCGGAATGATTTGATCCATCCACCTACTCGATGGAGACACGTGACGATGTAATGACCTTTGCCTTCTTTTCCTGTTTCATTGTTTCTGTTTACTGCAAGTGCCAGTATGAATTGCGCGGATTCGTCAGTTATACATTCAGGGTTTTCTTTGATCGATTGACTCGTTACATGTTTATGGTTATCCCTGCAGGCCAGTGGCTTGGTTGTTTGGCGGGAAGACCTTCTTGATCCGACGGAGAGAAAGGAGGGACTTTGTAGCCCGCAGGAGTATGGAGGGATGGGAATGGAATGGAATGGGATGATTGATTTGATTGACTTAATGGTCGTGGAGTTGCCGAGGATCGAATTCGTAGTTTCTCCAATCTAGTTTATTTACTTGAATCGTTCCCATCTACAACGTACTATACATGCATATGTAGAGAGGCAGAGAAAGTGACGCCCGAACATGAAAGTACTGAAAGGAACCTCGGGCCAAGACTCCAAACCAGCTGAAGAAACGGGACAGAAAGTCAAAGTGGAGGATGAGCCACAAATCCGGGGAATCACGTCTTCGTCGCACGCGCTGACATCACCGGCTATTCAAGGCTACTGTAGGTTCGGTCGGTCCGTATGGGGAATGGATCATCGCTTTACAGTACGCCGTACTTTTGTCTTTTTGCCCCCGAGGAGATGGCTGGATGTATGTATTTTTATAAGGTGGGTGTGGAGTTCGGAGTTGGATTCGGATTAGATTTGTACGGTATGCCGGAGATGGGCAGATTTCGGAGTTGGTGTTTTTCTTTGGCTCTCTCTCTCTCTCTCTCTCAAATATGTACTGTTGTCTTTGCTAGGCACTATTTAGTATACATTTGGGATTTAGGTATGGTATATCTATATTACGATTGTTGTATGTTATACCTATATACAATCACATAAAGGCCAAGCTAATCCCGATTCATATGTGTGTACACACCAATATCGACACATTTGCTTATGAAGACTCTAACTGGTACGAGTGATAGCCATTTTTAAAATGAATCTCTTCCGAACGATCACGGTCACGTAGGAACCCGAAGTAGGTAGTTAAGACCCCTTTGCCAGAACCCAACCCAGCGATCTAGGTTTTATAACACCATAACTCCTTTGTATCTATTGCTCATGAGGTCATAGTTCTTCTAGTCTGAGCTGTGGCAGGTCTGATTAGTTGCATCGATGGCTTGGTGAGGTGCTCGGGCATTTCTTCTCATTTTTGTGAGAGATAGTTATCTGTTTAGACACATTTTTCTTTGGACATGAACAATAGATCTACCCCAGCAAATATCCTAGATATTTAACCCTTTATAAGAGCCGTATAGTTAATGAGATCTAGAACCATTGAATGGCGATGTATATGGACATGTAGAATAAAAACATGAACATGGTCGGTGCCTCATCAGGCACAAACGACCTACCCATGAAATCGATCTGGAATCCCTAAATCACGAGAGGACTTGCCCAATCAACTTATTTAAGTACTCTCACAATATTGATCTATAACATACAGGCTTTACATTTTCTACTGACTAGGTGTTCATATCCCGCGCTCCAAGCATCCAGTAATTTGACTACCTACGATGTATGTACTAGCCCTTACGAAGTTCCCTCTTCCTCATTTCGTCAGACATCAATCCCAATCCATTGGTCCAGTTGCTATCTAGGTATTGTTATCCAGAAAAGCAGTACGTACCAAAATGAGCAACCAACCAGAACCAGACCTTCCTCGCTTTCCTTCCTCTGTACCGGTATGTTGAATACCAGCACTCACCAACTCGACGCAATCATCCACCGCTCTTTACCTAAGGTACCTACCTACAACCGCGCCGCTCTTCGCAGCTTCGGAGAAGCCGCGGGGCATGTCGTCTGATCGACGTTAAAGTCGCCAGACTCGGCGAAGATAGTATTCGGGTCTCCGCAAACGGCAGCTCTAACGCGATAGCTAAATCCGCGAAATCATTCAGTTCATTTCTCAGATTAGTGTCCCGTCCGAGAAGAGTCTTGATAGAGGGTAAAGCAAAGCAAGGCAAGGAAAAGAAGTGTGAGTGGTAAGTATGTCCACGTACGTCGTCCGAAGTTCCGAAGCCGGATAACACGTTCCGGGAATCGTCACGCAGCCTGCGTCTCGCGAGACGGGCTGCTGGTTAAGCAGAGAGAAGATCTGCGGTGGGTATTGGATGAAGTTGGTGAGGTAGAGGCAGAAAGTGGCAGGGTCGGTGCTTTATGTGGGAGAGAATTGATTGGTTAGATAGATGATTAAATAGATGATTGACGTTTTGATTTATCAGGCTAGGGGGTTCATTACTCGACTGCAGTCCAGCATACTTCCCAGTTCTGCGAGAGGTCGACGGTATCGCCGGTTGCGGGCTTGGTGATCAGGACGGCTTCGGCGGTTGCCAGGAGAGTGGCGATGGTGATGGGGGTGAGACGCATTTTGAGGAAGTTTTGGTCTTTTTATACGAATTAAGTGTTGGAGTAGTAATTCAGATTTGGAGAAGCTAATGATAGTTAGGATCGAGGAGAGTGCAAGCGGAAAAGCTTTAGATAAGAGAGGGCCAGGAAGGAAATGGCTCTTCTTATATCTTATTCTCTGCTGCGGAATCTGCTACATTCTCTTTTGCTTTTGCTTATACAATAATATTATCCAGGATATCAATAGGAACCATAATTTCCACATCCTTGTCGCACAATGATAGTCACTCGCGATCAAAGACGAGCCGTCCGGGTTCCAACTGACGAAGAAGGAGATTCTCAAAGTACAGACGGCCAAAGACAGCACGCCTAACACAACGGTAGACCAATCATGATGCCAAGACTCGTTGGTTTACGTATATCCTCTATTTCCTATCCCCGAGACACGATGCTATACGAATTTACCGGGGTGATGGAGTTGACGATAGGCGAGGGAATTTCGTCTTAGCTGACGGTCTATGAGCTTCCAGTCATTGTCATGGGCTTAGCCTGTTTGGTGATTGGATCACGTTTTTCGCGAGGGAGAGGCTTGGTTGTTGCCCCTTGCTTTGGTTTGAATGTCCTTTTTCCAGCGTGGGTGGTAGTAGGGATGCAAGGCTCGTGTCATCGGACTTGATGCCTATAGTTCTAGACCCCGTTACCTGTCTTCCTTTGGTGAAGCATGACCAAGATACTGAGCACGGTGGTATTGGAGAGGGGTAAACACAAAATAGACGCATATATCGAAAGTACGCAGGCAAGCAAGGTGAGATGTTTCTGTCCCTGACACCGAACCCGAAGCTAATAGAATTATCTATAGTTGCACTATTCATACATGCAGTCGATCGAAGTACACACCCATGTAGTTAGTTCATAGTATCGTTTCAATCCCACCAACTCTATCAGACACAAGACCAATCAGATAATTGTCCGGTAGCATACGACCCAGGCAACTGCAGTGTTACGGTGTCACAAGCCCAGGAGCAGCACAGAGAGATTGAAAGAGTCAGATTCAATTGAACCTGCGCCTGTACGAGTGATAGACAGCGCCCCCCTGCAGTATCCTCATCGCGGCTCTTCAAATGGTCCTATCCTGCATTTTCGGATAAATTCTCTGTCCCAGTCAGTCAGTCGTGAACCCATAACACTACCAAGCCAAGCCCTTAGGTGCAGACAATACCTACTAATTCCCAGAGTCCTAAAGCCTAAGCCTAACGACGTAGGACTTGCTGGGATCCGTAAAGGCTTCGCAACGCTTCGTGATCGACCTCAGCAACCAACTTTTCTGCTCTAGGGCCTTCCATTCTATAGGTAAGACACGCCCTCGGAGCTGACTAGACTGGGCTGGGCTTGTCAGCTTCCCTACAACTTTTCAAGAGGGATGGGAATGTCATGACGTACAAATAACAATTGATAACCAAGGAGAAAGCATTTGTTCAGCGGTATCCCTACCTCGTATTCTTGTGCAACATATCTAGTGCCTCACGTGGAGGCTTTGAAGTGTTTCTAATGTATGTCTCAGATCATCTATGTCAGCACCCAGCAATAGGCTAGTATCTAGTTAGCTAACTTTAATTAACAAATAGGTCTCAAGGATTCTATCAGCTGTAAGTAACCGGGAATAGAGAATTATGATTGTAGAAGGCAATGAGTAAGATTGACTCTTGTATTAGAGTCATTTGGTTAGCGAGTACCTAGTTAGAAAACATCAAAGTATAAGCGGGATCATCTACTACCTTGGTGACAACAGAAGAGTAAAGACAATGGAACACATTAATTACTAACCACTACTCCCTACCAATAACAAAAACGCGGTCATTCAATCAATAACAACCAACCAATAAATATAACCCTCCCAGATCGTGTGGTATTACATTATAACAATTAACCCCGAGAGCCTTCGTCACTTCCGACTCGACAGAACGTCCAGATACATATGAACATGTTCGACATAACAGCCCCCTCAGCAGTCCAGTCTGTATGATCATCCAGGCTCATTATTAAGTAAGAAGTGGGGGGATGGAAACAATTCACGGAATTGCATCAATCAACATGAAATCATAATAAAAATCAAAAAATCACATTACGACAAGCAGGGATTCCCAATCCCGGAGTATCAGAGTGTGGAAAACGAAGAACGTGTCAGTTAAAAAAAACCAGAGCATTCTCAAAAGTTGAGCCCCTATGTAATCTGTGGCCCTGGTTTTCCTGGCTGTGCGGTCTGGTTTCTTAAACCTGGACAGGCTCACGCTCTTCTTCTCGACCTCGGGGCTCGCCGTCGAGGGTGCTGGTCACTTCCTCGCCATCTTCCACGTCGTGGTAGGTCTGGTGCTGGTCGGCAGGCAACCATGAGTCCCGGTCTCCTCGCAGGGGCTGGTCCTGGCCCGACAGATCAACGCCTTCTCGGTTCTTGGCGACGCTGTCGCGTTGGCGCTGGGAAAGGGTGCGAGTCCGAGTGGACAGGCTGGACTTTACCGAAGCCTTGGAGGTAACCCAGTTGGCCAGGGCCTCTTCGCAGTCCTGGATCACACCCTTGCTGGCGTCGTATCCGTCGTACGCCGTGCGGGTCTCACCGGGGGTGACGGGGGTGTCGTCGATGAGATCCAAGAGGTGCTTGCCGTAACCCGCAATGATGGCCACCTTCTCGGAGTGCTCGCGCAGCGCATCGAACTGGTACTGGAAGGCGGCCTTGAGCTTCTCGCGGGTGATGTTCGAGAGCTGAGCCTCGGCCACGAGCGATTCGGCCTCGGCGCGAACCAGCTCCTGCTCCAGGACGACGATGCGGGGCGAGTTGGGGTCCTTGTACTTCAGCTTGGCGATCTCGTCGGTGATTTTCTGCTTGCCTATAGTCAAAGTATGTGAGAAGCTGGCTTTTCGAATTGAACACAGGTGAGTACTTACGGTCCCGGCTAGGCTGCACGGACGCCTCAATGTTGCGGATGCTCTTGATGGTCACACGGTACTGGTCGTAGCGATCGACGTAAAGATCCTCCAACTCTCCGATCTCGTAGAGCAGAACACCAATCTTATCGGTGACATCCGACACGTCTTCGTCGCAGTTCTCACCCCAGATAGAGAGTTGTTGCTGTAAATCCGTTCGTATCAGCCTCAATTGCGTCCAATCCGACCTGATCCGCGAGATCCGAGATCAAGAATCATCATCCACCTACCGCAGTCTCCATGCGCTCCTTGGCGACCAATTCCATACTGCGCATGACGTTCTTTTCCATCTTCACCAGCTGCGAGAGTTTGCGCGCAAGGTCGGGTCCGAAAGCGCCGGCGGCGTTTTTGCGGAAGGCGTGCCCTGCTTACATTTGTTATTATGCTTATCATTACCGGCAATTCCGTCGCAAATGTGCTTTCGCCCCTCGCTGGCGGTCTGGCGGTCTGGCGTTCAATCGGAATCGGATGTAGCGAAAAGGCTTTTAGATTCGAGAAGAAAAAAAAAATACTCACCGAAGCCACCCTTACCCATCCATCGGCCGGTCTTGGTTGTAGACAATGGCGGAGGCGGGTTCTCGATCTGCGAGGCGGTCGGCACGCGCGACTGGCGCATAGAATAGGTACGATGCATGATGGATTCGCGTGGGTAAGAAAATTAGAGATACAGGGATGAAGGAAGAGCGATTAAAAAAAAGGGTTAAGAAATGTAAGTTGGAAGGTTGAAAATCGGGCGAGGCAGTATCTTTGAATCGAAGGGTCTCCTTTGCGCACGAGTGACGTGTACGGGGGAATGCCACGGGATGCGACGGAAGGGCGACACACGAGGGCGGAGCGGATAGAGTGAGGGAGAAGATGTGGGAAAAGAGAGAGAAGAAAGCAAAGAGAAGAGAGAGGGCGAGAGAGCAAAGGTGCAACCTAAAGTGTGATTCTCGAGTCGAGGAGAGACCCACGTCGACGGAGGGAGGCAGCAACAGCGGAGAAGAAGAGTTGCGACGGGCGACGCTGGTGACGTCGAGACTCCCCGTGGACACTAGACCCGATGGGGCAGCCACGGCTGGCGGCGATGATGAATAATGACGATCGGCCTGATCCCTCAGGCGCAATTGAGCCCGCGGATTGGACGCGAAGTCTTCAAGAGAACTGCTTAAGGAACTTAATCAAGGGGATCGGCCAGAGGGACTGAAGGGGTCTGCAGGGGACTAGCAACCGCCCCACTCGCTGCTTCATCGCCGTGGTTACTCTTCTATCCTCTGCTGTTCATCTGAGTAGTGTTCACCGCTAGGGGCTCCGGATCTGCGACGTCATCGATGTGCCTTCGTTGTGATGTCATCGATTCCCCTGGGCCTCGTACAGTTCGGGTCGCTCGGTTCAATAATGTCATGACTAGGTACAACTAGATCGAGGTTGGTGGAAGTCTGAGCTCCACGGCTAGGAACGTTTTTATTTTATGTTCTACCTGAATAAGATCCAAAATACCTGGACTAATTCTACTGACTTTTTTCATAAAGACAACGCTTGGACCATGTGCATGTAGATGTAGGACGGAGAATTGTGAAACCAGTAAAATCACCCAAATCAAATCCTAAAATCTAAATAAAGGAAATGACCTTTCATACCTCGGGTGATCGACTCTCCGCATTCGGATCGTCCAGATTAGATCCATCTTGTGCTACTTGGTTGGTTCATATTGCGCTTGCAACGTCGGGGACGAATGGTGGGGACCAACCATTTTTACGTGACAATTTAAGACCCTGGCAGAGAATTCTTCAGGAATTTGATGGAACCTCGTTCGAAAATCTTGGCAACAGGTTTTTCATAGATTTTATTTTTAAGATGACCGAGACTACTCCTTCCTCTGTCGGGTTTTCCGCTTCTTACTAGTCTTCGCGTCACCACTGCCGGCCTGCTCACCGGCCTCGCCCTCACGTGCCCCCCGCTTGGTCCCTGTCGCTCGTCCGCCAGCATTTCCAGGGGATTCTTCCCCTTCAACCTCTGCCGATTCGATGTGATCGGCTCCTGCTTCCCGCCGGAGTCGACCAAACGCCTTCTCCATCCGACTCTGACCCGCGGGTCGAGCTCGTGGCGCAAACGCTCCGGCTCCTGTAGGCCCGTGGAAAAAGTTCGTAATGTTGGACTGCGTGCCTTCTTGCTCCCTCTGATTCATGTCCCGAATGACGGGCACCAGCACCTCGTCAGTTCGTTCCTGACTCCATCCGATTGTCGTCATCAGGAAATGTCGTAGTCCGTGGAGATCGGGCACGCCCCATTGGAAAGCAGACGGGTCCGAGTCGACCTCGGGTTCAAAGTAGGCCTTGTCTACCCGGGTGTCTGGGAAGGATGGAGGGAGGAAAATCTTCGAGGCCTGCTTTTTGAACTTCTTGTAGAAGGCTGCGTGCTCGCCTTCGGCCATGTTGACTCCCATCTGGACTTGGGTCCACCAGTCGCGGAACTCTTCTAAGCTGGCGAATTCTGTGATGATCTCAAGTGCCGTTACGGGCCCGATACCCGGAATTCCCTCGGTATAGTCGCTGCCGAGCAGATGGGAGAAACTGATAAGCTTCTGCCGATGAAGAGCATATTCCTTCTCTAGATCGGAACTGAGGTAGCACTCGACGAACTTGCTCTGATTGAACATGTTTTTGTAGATGCGGGTACCACCAAACAGGAAGCAATCGCTATCGTCGGTGATGATGCCATCGACAAGCCCCAAGGTGACTAGTTCTGCACACTGCGCTTCAGCCTCCATGGGCGCGGTAACGTATGGTAGGCCAAATAACTTGAGCAGCTGCTGACACTCGGTTATCATGATCTGCGATACCTCATCTGCATCGCGACGATCCTTCTTTTGTTGCGATCGCAACTGCTTAAGCTCCTGTTCGTAATCAAAAGCGTTCTCATTTCGTGCCTCGGAATTCAACGTGGCTGCAAATCGGACATGCTCCTCGCCTTCGGCGGCGAGTTGTCGCATCAAATCCTCATCCTCAGGGTCCGAGAATTCTTCCTCTTCCCTGACGAGCCTTTCGGCTTCGGCTAGATCAATGGTAGATTGAGGTTTTAATTCAGTAGTAATATTATTGGCTACTGGCTGTTCAGATGGTATTGTGACGTCCTCAAATTCGGGCGATGGTGATGGTACCGAGGTTGGTTCGGTAGTAGGTTCTCCTGGTTTTGCAACGTTCTCAACTTCAGGCGATGGGTAGGTTTCGGCGCGTTCATCATCCTCTTGTATACTGGCATCAACTACTTCACCATGTGCACTAGCTTGCTCTTCGTTCTGATTTTCTGCAGTCGAGATAATTTCCGGAGACTGTGGAAGACGAACGACGTTGTCTTGGGCTGCTAGTGACACAATCCTGGGAGTCGTGTTGGTTTCTTCGTATTTGGGAGCAGCTTCTGATGCATCAGCATTATCTTCTTCCACATCAGACTCCAGATCGATGACTTCGTTTGCTTTTGAAGACTTGTCAACATCGATGACCTGAGGAGATTCATGATTCTTCAGGAAGAAGTGGTCTGGAGTCAAATCATTGTCCCGAGGCAATGGCGTATCATCGGCCTTATCGGTAATGAACTCCGCCTTGGAATTGCTTCCTGAAAACCATGGCGGCAAGATGATGTTCTCCTCCGATTTAGTGCTAGACCCTTTCTCAAAACCACCAGCATGATCATAAGCCTTTTCGTTGTTTGATTTTCCATGTCGGAACGACTTGTTGAGTTTCATGGACTCGAAAGGCAGAGGCCCGTTGAAAGGATTATCGATGGCCGGACGCGAAGCACCAGCGCTGGTTGGATCCTTCTTTGTTCTCTTTGATTGCGCCAATGCCGCTCCAAAATCTAGTGCGTCATCATCATCGCTCTCTGGACTAATATTGTATGTATCATCCTTGCTAGACGGGAGAGGGGCGGTGTTTCTATTGAGTTGTATATCAGGCATGCCGTCGTCCTGTTGACCGGCTTCAGACTCGAGCGACATTTGTATCGCTTTTTGGAGGTCTTCATCTTCGCCCTCTTCAAATAACCCATTGACCTCTCCGCTGCCATTTAGTAGGTTCTGATCGTCAACATCTGGAACAAATAATGAGTCGTCCTCGAAATCTTGCGACCTAGTACTGGGTTTTCTCCCTGCCGTCCTTTGCATCTGCTCTCTGACGGAATCGTCAAGAACGCCATCTTGAAGAAAAGGCATTCGAGGAAGCCGGTTGAGACCCTCGACAGGCACATCCTCGAAGCCATCATCATCATCAGAGTTATTCTCTTCCGGGAGAACCTCTTGCATTCCGTACTGGTCAACGTCGATAGGTTTCCCCTCGCGACCTTCATCCTTGTTGCCGACCACACCGAGGACCCATCCGCCTTCCACCGTATTGTCTTTCACCAGTACGTACTCCTTGCCGCGTTCTCCGGCAATTCTCTGTCCCGAATTGTAGAATGCCTCTTCGCCGTTCATGCCGTTGATGTTCATCAGCCTCTGAGTCAGATCGTTTCTCTCCTTGACTCGCTCAATCTGAAATTTCGAAAAAGCCATACGATCCGGGAACATGATATCAAGCTGCTCTTTGGAATACCCCATTCGTAGGCGACTCCGAAGCCTAGCCGCATTTAAAATATTATACCGATCTGTAGCGGGAAGACTGATGAAGAACGAGCTGTCGAAATCAATCTTAGAGAAGTCGTACAAATTGATGTCCTCGCCTCGATGGAACTGCCTTGCATATTCCTCAAGCTCCTCCTGTGACATGATGCGCGGGTCGTTTGGAGCGCCCATCGCTTCTAGCGAAACCTGCATGTCCGGCAGGTGGTAGGCATCTTTCTTCCTAAAAGAGCGGCCTTGCTGCTTCTCCTTGTCCGTCATAAATGCCTCCTCTGCATATACCGGTCCATCCGTCACTTCCTCTTCTGCCTGCTTGGCTGTCGCATTCTTGCGATTGGCCGCCTCTTCCTCGGCAATTCTTTGCATCTGCACTGCGAGTAGCTTCCCGGCCGTGCGCACGGCATCTTCTCTGCGGCCCTCTCGTCGTTTCTGTCTGCCCGCTATGGTCTGGCGCTTGAGGATTGGGGCGCCCCCATCAAACACGAAAACCGGTTTGATTCCAAAGTAGAGCAATTTGCATATGCGACGGAAGAAGCCCACGATGTGGGAGTTACGCAGTGCATTTCCCTCTTTATCACGGACTGCCTTCAAGAACTGATAGATCCAGATCGACGCATCGACGGCCAACCGCCTCTTGTTGAGGGTCTCGAGCTTGATGGGCCGTGCGCAAGGCTGGACGACGTTCCAGAGCCCGTGAACACCCATGGTGACGGGTTGTTGGGCGATCTATTAATATTATGGGATGACTAGTTGCGATGAAAACATGGCTAGTGTGAGAGACCGCGAAGGAGGATCAGGGTCGCTTCGAAGACAGAGGCATTCACCGATCCAGCCGGCGATCCTGATGACATCGTAAGAATCAAGGCGAGAGCCGCGTCGCCACTTCTGGAGGAGCGCGCCGTCACGTGCAACATTATGCCGTTTCGGGGAAGGCGGCGTGTCGGTGGGCGCGTTACCTAATCATTCACAGACAATGTTGGAAATTCTGGAATTTTGCGATGGAAGATCGAATCTCCATGCGGGGAACAGATAACGCTTGGACGCGATTTTACTGTCCGAAAGCCAGTTAGCCGTGGTGCTTTCCTGGTTGCTTCAATGCATCCCTCGCTCGAGGTCAGTTTTGACCCTAGTGACAGTCCTGGCAACTACTGACTCAAATACTAGCACATTGATGCTTGTCTCCCTATCACTGCGTTGAAGGCATTTGACCTGGGAGATGATGCCTTTGTTGTTGAGGGCCAAGGACCCCATGCGCGACTTTTTGACGAGCGCAGTGGGAAGCTACTGGACAGTCTAAGAGTGTTCAAAAGAAGCAACATCCATGGATTTATCGTTCTCAGCCAAGAGCAGCGGGGCATCAAAGATGCACACGCTCGGCTTCTTATCTGGGGAGGGGAATCCCTAAGAGTGGTTGGCCTTTCGATTACCCATGACACCATCTCTCTCCGGGCTACATGTGCGGAGTATGTGGCTCCAGACTGGATCATGGCCGGCTGTGTGCCGGAAGTGAACAACACCGAAGTAAGAGCTTACATGGTAACGGCCCACAATGCTGTTCTTCGTCTACGCTTGATGGAGGAAAAGCCCACAGAATATGAGACTAGCATCCACCTGGACTACCTCGTGGCTGGAGTCAAGACTCTCCTCTATTCCGCTGACATCATCTCGTTCTCATCGTCTCACATATTGATCGCTGCTGGAACAGTCTTTGGTGAGATCATTGTTTGGTCTTGCTTTTTGGACGAGGACCAGAGCCTAGCCACTGACGCTGTCGCCTCAATCCACCACTTTTTCACCGGACACGAGGGGTCCATTTTCGGAATCAGGATCTCTCATGAAATCACTTCCTTGCCTGGTCGCTCCACGGGAAGATTCCTGGCTAGCTGTAGTGACGATAGAACCATCAAGATCTGGGATATATCTGATTGCGAAAAATCGTCCCGCCACGATCCTTCGGCCTATTCCACCGATGGTTTCGACCTTCGAAGCACCGGTTTCGGCGACAGTGCACTTGGCACCGAATCTTGCATCGCCAGCGCCTTTGGCCACCAGGCGCGGATCTGGAACGTGTCTTTCCTCCCTACTCAAGCAGGAGAAGAGTGTAAATTGAATCTTGTCTCGCGTGGCGAAGATGCAACCTGTTTTGTGTGGGATGTCAGCTGGGACCCCTCTTCTGAAAAATCGGAGTTCAAGCTAAGTGAAATCTCCTCTGTGCGCCAACACTGCCAGAAACACATTTGGGCCTCGGAGATCCGTAGGATCGGCACGCAAACAATGGTCTATACCGGTGGTGCAGACGGTGCGTTGAAGGTCTTCAAAATGGAAGTTGGTGAGAAAGGGGCCCTTGTGCTTCCAAACCGGAATCGGCGCATTAACTACGTTGTCGACTCTCATGATGCTGAGCCGAAGTTGGAAAAAACCACGAAAAAGTTTGGCTTCGTCTCCTCGGATTGCTTTGTCGCAGCCACGTCCCAAGGAGAGATTCAAGTCTGTCGGGTCGAATCTCCAGCGTCAGTCGAAAGCTACATCTCCAGAGAGACTATCTCGGTGGAAGAAGACCTCCGTTCATACTGTGCGATTGCCGGTCTACCGCAGTATGGGGTGGCCCTTCTAGGGAGTGCTAAAGGAACCATACGGCTGTACGACCATAGCACCAAGTCACTGTCCGTAGTGGCAGAGACGAACCTAATGCCGCAGGGGTTCTTTGCCCTCGATTATGATCGCAGCACGATTGACAAGTCAGGGACACTCTTCTTTCTTACGTCACACGCCAGATTCGACAAGGCCGAATTCTTCATGGTCACGATTTCGAAGAATGAGCAACCGCAGATGAAGAACATCACAGTCTCCCTCCCTAAACGCTTCGTCGTGGGCAATGGATCCCTGATTTGCGGCAATCGGTACCTGGCACTAGGATCCCAAGGGGGTTCACTTGCCATATATCAGCTAGAATCGACGGAGTCGCTACTGCAGCCTATCCTAACCGAGTACATCCACCCGGAAGGTATCAACAAGATTGAGTCATTCTATTCACTCTTCGGCGAGGCGGGTAGGTCGCAGAATTATTTGCTTACCTGTGGCCGAGATGGATTCTACGGCATCCATACGCTAGATGAGAAGGCGCAGGAATTGCAGGGAGTGTCGGTCTCTCTCCGAACAGTCCATCGTTCAACTCCACTTCCCAGGTATAACATCACAGGTGCCTACATTGACAAGGTATCTGGCGATCTCATGCTGCACGGGTTTTCGGGTACAGATTTCATCTTATGGAATGAGTCGACTCACTCCGAGTCCGCTAGGATGACCTGTGGCGGTAGCCATCGAATCTGGGCCTTCCAACCCAGCTATACGAACCCCAATTCGGGTCTGCTCGTTTGGCTACAAAATCACCTCACTGCGTTCCAGATCCAAGGCGATGCCAACTGGGCTTTGCGGGCAGGCAGCCATGGACGGGAAATCAAAACGATGTGTGTGTCGCCCGCCAATGATGAGAGAGGAATCTTGTATGCCACTGGAGCTGAGGATACCGCCTTGCGGATATTTGCGCCGATTGACTCGAAGAAGGAGAGTCGATGGGGCGCGTTCAAGTGTCTGCGGGTTCTCACGCAGCATCAGACGGGGTTTCAGCACGTCGCCTGGTCAAGAGATGGGAAGTTCCTATTTACGGGGGCCGCGAATGAAGAGTTCTTCGTGTGGAGGATCCGCTCGATTCCTCTGTTTGGCTTGGTGACCAACCTCGTCGCCTCGAGTCCCAAAAGCCATCCGAACTCCGATCTTCGCGTGACTAGCTTCGACATGATCGAAATCGAAGGCGCAGAGGCCGAGGGTGACTTTTTACTTTGCATGTCGTACTCGAACTCCACCCTCAGGGTATGCACTAGCCGTCTCTTATCTCCCGCTTTCCAACTCAATTCCACTGACATCCATAGATCTTCCGCTACACGTCTTCGGCCGGTGAAAACAACTTTACGTTATTGGCAAAGGGCACATATACCAGCAACTGCCTCACGGAGGCACAATTCATCCTCCGCGACTCGTCACTGGTGATGCTGACGGCGTCCACGGACGGATACCTCACCCTCTGGAACCTGACCTCCGTGATCGACCCTTTCTTCGCCATCTCGTCCGACTCCTCGACCTTGCGTCTAAAACAACCCATCGACGCGGCAACGATCGCGCCCGAGGAGATCACCTGCGAGAACCGATACCAGGTCCATTCCAACAGCATCAAAGCCGTTGAGATCGAGCACATCTCCGACGTCGCATCGTTGGTCATCGCCGGCAGCGATGACAACGCGTTGACTCTGTCGCTCTTGAACACGAATTTTACCCATGCCGAAGCCAGCGACCATGCGTACACGGTGTCTATCCCCGATGCGCATACAGCGTGCGTAACCACGGTTAAAGTTCTGGAACGGCAGCTGTCGTCCGATGGGAAGACGACTCACATTACTGTCGCCTCCTCCGGGAACGACCACCGGGTCAAGATCTGGACGATCCAGGTCGATGCGACGAAGGCGGGATTCGAGGCGATTCAGGTCCAGAACGTGATCGACAGGTACAGCTCCGTGGCGGATATCTCGACGGTGGATCTGATCCGGGAGGAGACGGGCGACGCGAAACTACTTGTTTGTGGAGTTGGGATGGAGATGATGAGCGTTCAACTGCATTAGCGATATTAGAGTTCCGGTTTACGACGAAATGGCCATGGTATGCACGTATATAGAGGGCAGAGCAAGAAAGGGAAAATTAGGGAAAATTAGAATCAGCCAGAATAACCAGCTGGCGAGGTGCAGATCGAATCCGGAGCCTCCGCAGACAGTCTCAAGGGGCCGTGACCAAACGGGTATGGAGAAAAGCTCCGTCCATCACACCACGCGACTTGACACCCTTCGTCGGTCTTGGTTTCCCCATCTATGAAACCCCGCAATTAGCTTGAATCGATCGATCATTTCTTTTTTATTTCTCTCAGTCTTGAATTGTTCCGTCGACTGCAGACTGCAGATCGCAGAGGCAAGGACCGGCTATCCGATGGCCGGATAAATGGAGCCCGTTCGGACAACGGACGTGACAGATGTGGATGCAGCATTTGCTATGTGGCTTTAATCAATTTCGAACGTGCTTCAGGGTTTGTCCCCCATCATGCTGGCGGCTGGCCGACTCTCCACTGACGATCCCCGGCAATTTCTGCCAAACGGTTTTGGGACATGATGGGGAGGGAATGCAGGATGGAGGGGGATATAAGTACAAGGAAATGGCAGGATCTTGATGAGTGACCAGTCAGTTCTGTTTCTTCCTCTTGTTTGCATCTTGTCTTACTTGCATTTTCATCATGAAGTTTCAGGCTCTGTGTGTGATGGGTGCTGCGTCTTTGGCTGCTGCGCGGCCATTTTCGCGGGCGCAGGACACCACGCATTGGTTCAGCTTGTAAGGGTTATATTTCAGTTCTATGTTTCTTAGACTTATTCTATTATCACAGTGGCAATTCATATACCCAAACTGGATTCAACGCTTGGGGCGAACAGCCCACGCTCTCCAACCCTATGGGAAACCCTCAAATAGGTACGACTTCTTGCCCTTCCCTCCCAACAAGCCATCGAAGGGTCTAGCCTCAGTAGTCTCACGCTCACACCAGGGACCGGCACGACAACTGGTGGAACCAACTATGTGGGATACCTGACGACAGCCGAGAACTCGTCGCTAGTGCTCAATTACAACTTGGCAGTCGGTGGAGCCACTATCGACAACGACATTGTTTCATCCTACGCCGACGATCTTGTCTCCCAGGTGGGCGTGTTTGAGGACCAGTATGGTGACAAGCCGGACTCGGCGCCCTGGACGGCCGAGAGTGCCGTGTTTTCTTTCTGGATTGGGATCAATGAGTATGGTTTGCCCTTCTTTCTTCTTTTTTCCTGTTTTATTGTGATGTGATACATGGTGCTAATGATGACGGTTTAACTATGTAGTATCGGCAACTCATTCTACAACCAAGATGCAAACACCTTCACTCCTAAACTGACCAACCGGATCGCGTCTCTCGTGCAGAAGATCTACGACCTTGGGGGGCGCAAGTTCCTTTTCCTGAATGTGCCTCCGACAGGTCGGAGCCCTATGTTCCTCGAACAGGGCAATGCAACTGTTCAGCAGCATGCCGCGTACTTGGCGGTCTATAACAAGAACCTGAAGTCCATGGTGGATGGGTTCAAGGCCAACCATACTGATGTGAGTTCAGGCATCAATTATAGACTCTGAGAAGTGGAGACCGGGGAAGAGAGATCAGCTAACAAATTCCGTACACAGGTCACCGCTGTCCATTATGACTCGTGGTCGTTCATGACCAAGGTCCTGGATAGCCCCTCGGAGTACGGATTCCCCGATGCGACTTGCATCAACGAGGACGGGACGTCGTGTGTCTGGTGGAATAACTACCACCCTTCTGCTAAGTATCATAAGCAGCAAGCGGAGGATATGAAGTCTGTGTTGAAGCCGCTAGGGGCGTGGTGATTAGCCTGATTGGGTTGTATGGTATATTGTGCTGGACTGGGTTAGGATGTATGTGGGTAGTGGTATAGGCTCACTTAGCTTTATTTTGTTCGAAATGAATTGACTGGTTCAATTGTCTACTTGTTTATTGTACTTTGTGTCGGGATTCAATTAACACAGTATTCATAAATAATCATTGGTACTTCAGTACCCACTAGAAAGCTCAACAGACCATGATCATGAACTAATAACGTCCCATAAAAAAAACATCTCATCCATCCCTGTCCCCGTTTCCCAGATAATCCCTCTGCAGAAAACAATTCACAAAGGAGAAAAAGAAACTAAAGCAAGTGCCGATGTCAATCACTTACCCCAAACGCCACGGAAATTGAGGCGTCTGTCGATCCCTTCCCCAAGCCTCCGTGCCTGACATTCATCTCCGTTTCTGTTTCATCGTCCATCTGCCAAGGCGGAGCTGGGATTTGATTCTTGTCGAAGTACGAGGAGCTACACAGTATGCAGAGATCAGCGATTCTCTGTTCCTATTGTCTATTATCCACTATTCAGTTAGTCACTGTTATTCACCTCCTAGGTTGAGTATAATCTAACTACGGAGTAGTAGCGGAAGAATCTCTCCATCACACACGGTCCGAAGACCCGAATCTCCAGGCAGTATCCACTTTTGTGTCGTTTCTTCAGCACAGGGACATCATTCGATCGTGGGCTGCGGGGGCGAGATGGCAAAACAGGATGCGTTTGATCAAATGTTCCTTTACTGATGCGGAAAGTGAGGTTTGAACTCTTCCGACGGGTTTTGATTTTAAGAGCTAGCGAGATTGAAATGGTTAACGGCGGTAATATAAATTGGTTCTGTCTTCTCGATTTGATTCTGGTGGGTTGAGTAGAGTCCATAGCAGCGGTTCTCAATCTCTTGGTTTCTTTCTTTTTTTTCTCTTATTATCGGTGCCTGTCCTCCCGAGGCATAAGATCCGATATGAAGCTTAGTAGCCTGATCATCGCTGCTGCGGCAGGCTCCGCGGTGGCTGCTCCCTCCGCGAAAGAGCATAAGAAGAGGGCGTCGGCCCTTGAATGTTAGTTCTTTTTACCTATTGCCCTACTTGACATGCCCAGGTCTTGCTAAAGACACGAAACAGGGATCGGATCCAATGAATCTGGTGGCGAATTCGGCGAAGACACGATTCCCGGCGAATATGTATGTCTGCCTTTCTTCTTCACGATGCGTTGATGCCGTGCCCCACTACAGTTTCTAATTTGTATTCTCCTAGGGAACGGAATTCATCTTCCCTGATGTCGACGCCATCTCTACCCTGATTGACAAGGGAATGAACATCTTTCGTCTTCAGTTCATGATGGAGCGGTTGACTCCGGATGGTATGACGGGGTCGTATAACGAGGCATATTTGAAGAATTTCACTACGGTGAGTGTGGTCTTATATCCCGACAGCAACTGCAAGGGAGAAAGAGGGAGAGAGGGGGAAGACTTATCTAACATACTCCATTAGGTGGTCAACGCCGTCACCGATGCCGGAGTTCACGCTATCCTAGACCCTCACAACTATGGCCGATAGTAAGTATCAGTATCTTTTCCCGCTAAGGCGAGATAACAACGCTGATAACATCTCCAGCAATGGCGAAATCATCTCCAAGACCTCGGACTTCCAGACTTTCTGGGAGAACTTTGCTGGCGAGTTCAAGAACAACGAACTGGTGATCTTCGATACCAGTATGTTCTCCCCACACAACCTCTATCATTGTATCCCCACCCCTATCCGACAGATCCTAACGCCTACCCCCCAGACAACGAATACCACGACATGGACCAAGAACTGGTCCTGAACCTCAACCAAGCCGCCATCGACGGTATCCGCGCCGCAGGAGCGACATCGCAATACATCTTCGTCGAAGGCAACTCGTATTCCGGCGCCTGGACCTGGCGCGACGTCAACGACAACCTGAAGGCGCTGACCGACCCGAACGACAAGATCGTCTACCAGATGCACCAGTACCTCGACTCGGACGGCTCCGGCACCTCCGAGGCCTGCGTGTCCAGCACCATCGGCAGCGAGCGTGTCAGCGACGCCACAGACTGGCTGACGGAGAACAAGAAGGTCGGCATCATTGGTGAGTTCGCCGGTGGCGTGAATGACCAGTGTCGTGATGCGGTGGAGGGCCTGCTCAAGCATCTGGCGGATAACTCGGACGTGTGGAAGGGTGCCGTTTGGTGGGCGGCCGGCCCCTGGTGGGGTGATTACATGTATAACATGGAGCCGCCGAACGGAGCGGCGTATACGGGGATGTTGGATTTGTTGGAGCCTTATTTGAAGTAGAGGGTAGTGTTGGATGGAGGTGTCATTGTGCCTGATGTGGTTAGGTAGATGGGATTAGGTAGGATTAGAGTACTGCAGAGTGCAGAATGGACGGGGTGGATACATACGTGGCCGACAGTCAAGAATAACTTCATATCGCCTCCATCCGCATCTTCTCCGTACTCCGTGGGGGGTTATCAATCTCTTCTAGAGGGCTAGATATGGACTAGTCGCAAACGTAGAACAGTTCGTCAGGAGATACGTACGCCTGCACGGAGCACGCAGTCCTCCAAATGTGAGGAAGGCGAAGCGACAGCGACCCACTGGCTGCGTCGCTAGAAGAAGCTATCTCGGATCAAGGTTAGATAAAGACGCGAAACAGTGCACTGCCAGCCTTACGAAAGTAGTCTATCTAGTATTTACTATGTACTAACGAGAACCGTGCTAGTCTAATTGTTGTGGGGATGGAGCTAAGAATTTTAAGAACAAAAAAGAGGGCAGTGTAAAGTTAGCTCCCCACGTTAATGAGAATCGGATTGTCCAGACCGGGCAGGTAAGAGGAAAATAAAGATGCCTAAATCTCAACGCCAAAGTCAAAAAGTCTCGGCAGCGAAAGGGTTGGAAAGGATCTGATGGGCGACCGAAAATAGCAGACTTGGCTGATCCCATGGTTGGACTTTGCCCCCTTGCGTGGCCGTCCGTGGAATCAACCTTTCTGGATGACCTCACCGGTTTCTATCTAAGGAGAATGTCTGACGGGCTGACAGACCCTGACAGGTCGTGAAGTCTCCGTGCTGTACGCAATTATGCATAAATTGGCCCTCCGTCTGCATAGACAGGGCCACTATTTCGCCATCCGGAGAAGACTTACGCCGGCCAAAACGTACTCAGTAGTATGCGCAAGGAGAAGGGGAATGAAAACTTCGAATTGAAGGATTCGACGTCCGTGCTGAGAATTCTCCGGCCCAGAGAGACTAAGGTAAGAGGACTCCGCAAAGTGACCCAAAACTAAAACCTCAAGAGTCATCTGTTTTGAATATATTTGCGAATATGGAGAAGTTAGGCTACCTCCTTAAGGACCCATGGATTCAACAGGATGAGACCCACCGGGATGGATGGGCTTAACCTTTTGTAGTGTAGTCAGTCAGATTTTATCGTTATCATTATCAACATTTAATCGGGATTATTTCGACAATACCTGGAGTCACGGTCCCAAGACCGGAATAATCCTCTCATCAGCTGGGGAGGTTGGATGACTGGGACATCCTGGTGCATAAATGCCGATCTTGATGGTGTGAGTGTCTACTACCTGAATGCATTACTCAAGACAGCGGATCAACAACAATTGATCAGAAGGTATTGTATGTAATGCCGTACGCTAACAGCAGGACGCGTACGACCCCAGCCACTTATGACGTGGCGGTAGGGCTGGCGAAGTCCCCGCCACGAGCCTCGATTTGTCCCGTCTAGGACTAGCCCCGTATTATGAGGTCCCGCTTTCCCTCGTCGGTACTAGCGCAACCGGTATTGCGTACGGAAAGTTGCGGTGGAAACCAACTTTAGCAACGAGAATAGAAACAGAGCGTGGCGTAGTTGATCCCGTCCCGCATTGATTGGGCCGCCGATCCAAGAAAAATACCACCGCAACTGCAAAAAAATAAAGTAAAAAACAAAGGGCAACTGCGCCCCCAAAGCGAAAGGAGTGCGTGCCGATCAGCTGCCCTTAAAACTGTTGCGTTGACCAGCCTTCCGTTTATCATCACTCGGTTTTTTCTCTCACCTCTCTCTGTCTTTACATCTTCGACTCCTTACTCCCCAGTTGTCACCTACATCCGTCTGGGAATACGCCAAATCAAACAACCTCCCACTCCATACTCCTCGCTTCATACGACATTCGATCCACATCGTCACCATGGGTAAAGCCGGTCGCATCTTCTGCATATTCACCCCATATGCACTCACCATCGCCTCGTTGGTGTGTATCATCATGGTCGGTCTGGGATGCACGAATTCCGGCTCCAACACGCTGAATGATCTCTATTTCTTCCGAGTATGTCACCCATTGCAAATGTGATGAATGAAGATGAAGCGATAACTAACTTCAATTCAGGCCAACTTGGAAAACATGACGACATCGGCCACGACAGACTCCAAGGTCTCCGACGCTCTCGAAAAGGCGCACTTGAAGGTGAACGACGGCGACATCAAGAGCGCCCTGGAACAAGTGCAGAAGCAGTTCGGCATCTCCGACTTCTACACCGTCGGTCTCTGGGGATACTGCGACGGCAACGTCACCGACAGCAACGAATACAAGGTCGAGGAGTGCTCTAAGCCCAAGGCCCAGTTCTACTTCGACCCGCTTACGGTCTGGAACTTGGAGGAATCCGGTCTCGAGAACGCCCTGCCCGACAGCATCAGCAAGGCCCTGAACATCTACAAGAATGTCTCCAAGTGGATGTTCATCGCCTACATTATCGCTTTCGTCGCCACCGTCGTCGAATTGGTTGTCGGAGTCTTTGCCGTCTGCAGTCGCTGGGGAAGCTGCGTGACCACCCTGGTCTCTGGTGTATGTTTCCATCTGCTCCACCGTTTTGATCGCACATGCTAATTGTCTTCCCAGGTTGCCTTCTTTTTCACTGCCGCCGCTTCGGTCACTGCGACCGCGATGTTTGTGACCGTGACTGGCACGTTCAACGAGAACCTCAAGGACTACGGCATTAAGGGTAGCATGGGCAAGAACATCTACGTGGCTACCTGGTTGGCCGTTGCTTTCTCCCTGGGAGCCGGTCTGTTCTGGATGATCAGCTCGTGCTGCTGCTCCGGCAAGTCCCCTTACAACCACAAGGATAAGGCCGCTCGTGGCGTGACCGCCGAGAAGGCCCCCTACACCTACGAGCCCCTTGGCCCCTACGGAACGCCCGCCCCTTACGGCAACACCTCCTACCCTTCCGCTGGCGGCAACCACGTCCCCGTGCAGACGAGGACCAACGCCTACGAGCCTTTCCGTCATGTCTAAATGACTACTATCCAAAACCCCCAATCAAACAACATAAATACCAAAAAAAAAAAAAAAATCACTACACGGCATCCTTGGCGTTTGTCTTTTCATAGCGAACAGTCACGATTGGTCTTGCACAGCAACCCCGACCTCCTCGACATAATTTCCTACTCTACCCTACTGAGATGACCAATCGGGCCATGATGCCACTTAATGAATTTAATGCGAAGTTGCAAAGGGCTTGATTTGAATGGAATTGAACTTTGGGACTTGTTTTTTCGATCTTGTACTTTATCTGCTGTGATTTTTATTTTACTTTCGAACTCCGGGTCTGGACTGGCTTGGCTTGGCTTGTTTGCCCGTGAGCATGGATATTCGGATATACATAGATGTCGATGACATAGATACCCTCCTTCAATTTATGATGACATTTAAGATTAAGGACTGTTACAGAGTGATTGTTGTTTCATCGTTTCTTGGCTCTGGTCTAGACCAGCATCCATACTACGTACCTAAAAGCTACCTAGAGAGGACCTCCCCTTTCAGTGACCTCCTTTATACCCCGTACTACTTACTACGGAGTATTATAAACAACAATTGTCCAACTTGTGACGTCCAACATCTGATAACGGACCCCTCACATTAGCACCTATCCCATTTCACCAATCAATGCAAACTAAAATAGCTCTGATGATTTCAGGCCCCTGAGTCCTCCATACAGGGCCCTATTTTCAACGTCTCTACGTACTATGTAAAAAGAACTAGCCCCATTCCCGAAACCAAACATCAATATCTACACCCAAGATGTTGCCCAGGATGTATATTATACCAACTTCCTAATTTGAACACATTCCTCAACGGATTAATTAACAATCTAATTACGGTTTAGCTCATCAACTAGGAGAAGTGAGGTAAGCAGCCACATCCCTTCAACCTTTCCGGAGTTAGACATGACTCTGGTAAGCGAGATGAACGGCCATCTTGGCTGAACTGTTGATGGCCGGAGTTTGTCCGCGTTCTCTTTACTTTGGTGGATATTTGGGAGTTGGATAGTCAGATCCTACCTAATTATTGAGTAGAATAGAATAGTATAGGGTAGAGTAGTATTCTGATATCATCGATAGGTTTTGGGTGTTGGGAGTACTTCCTTGCCTTGTCAAGTTCTTAGTCTTAATATGACCATCCCTTTCTGCAGGAGTTTGTAGATTGTAGAGTGAACGCTTTACTAATTCTGATTGAAGTGCGGGGTATAAACGCATTGGCTTATGCAGGACGCTTGCCTACTTCCTCACTGCTTCTATTGTTCGCTCGCTTGAGTCTTAATTTCGTGAACAAGTCCTACCTCATTGGTAGGTTCGGGATTAGCATTCTGCAGGTCTTACTTCTGCAGACTTTTAAATGAAGTCTATGCTTGAAGCCGGATCGATCGGAATGAGTTGGCTTTGTTGAGGGGGAGTAGGGTGCAGGGTTATATACTATATAAGGGGGGAGAAAGAGGGAGACTATTTTCTGGTTCTTCATCTTCAGGGTATATCTTCTCTACATATCTATATTTGGTCTCAAAGAAATCTTCTTTTATTAAGTACAAACTTACTACACATACATACACACATACATACACACATAAACACCTACCACTTATAATGTCACCCACTTCCTCTTTCAAGGTAAAAATCTCCGCTCACATAGATTCCACAGTATGTTATACTAATCCAGTCTTATCTAGATCCTCATCTCTCTCGCCCTCGCCCTCACCACCACAACAGCATCCACCCTCACAACCGTCCAATTTACATCCTACGCCGCTCTTAACTGCGCCTCTGCGCCTGTAGGCTCCGCGCGCGTCGTCTCAACCTACTGTGTGAATATCGAGGATTTTCCGATCCGCTCGTTCCGTGCATCTGTGGATGAGAGCTCATCTTCGTGTGAAGTTGGGCAGACGGTCGTGTTGAGGTTGTTTGGGGAGGCGGGGTGTGATGGGGATTGGGGGGTTTTGGAGGAGGTTGAATTGGGTACCAAGGGTGAGAGTGAGGGAGAGGGAGAGTGTTTTGGGTTCGAGGGGACGGTGAGGAGTTTGAGTGTTGTTTGTGTTTAGGTTGGGTGTCTGCCTACCTCGGGGATTATGGGGGTTGTCGTGAATGCCTTGTTTAATGGGATTGGAAGATTTGATGGTTTGGGGATTTCTTTTTCTTTTTCTTTCTAGCTTAGGCGAGAATTAGTATACAGTCATCTTGAGCAAAGACCGAACTGAACCCAGGCCCTTGAATTGAAGATAAAGCAATTCGTTATCAGGATATCACGGAACGTATTTAATATATAGATAGACAACTTGCGTTGTCAAAAGAAAAGGTCGAACATAAATATAACCGAATCGAAAGAAACTGACGTTTCGTAGAAAAGGTCCTAAGATTTAAACCGTTGGATCACCCCCTTCTCGTCCACGGGGATATGCGCACCTCCGCGACGCTGACGCTCCTTGAACACGTTTTGGTCGACCCGTGCCCATTTTTTGAAAGGTGTGTTATAGTCGTCAGACCACACCGGCCCCGGTGGTCGTTGGTATATGTGTCGAAGGGATCGGAACCAGCCCTCATTAATGCTTTTGGCCTTGGCTTCAGTAACAGGCTGGGTGTCATTTTCACCCTCCGCTTCGGCCTCCGCTTCGGTCTCCGCTTCAACATCAGAGGCAGGTATCTCATGTAATTTGAGCCCCCCAGGAGCCTTAGAAACCTGCAAGGGTGTTGCAGGTCCGCTATCGCCAAGTTCGATACTGGCCGTCTCATGCGTCTCATCCATGATATCATCTTCCTGGTCAGAGTCGTCTGGATTCTCGCATTCCTGAGTCTCCTGGATCACGTCGGAATCTTCAATGATCTCAGCAACTTCAGCAACCTCGGAATTCTCGACACCATCATTCTTTTCCTGAGAGTTTTCGGGGACGCTAGTGTCTTCAACGGCTTGAGTGCCCTCGTCATTCTTGGCATTTTGGCTGACATCAGCTGCCTCAGCTGGTTCAACGGCCTTAGACTCCTCGGTATCGCGATGTATCTCTACAGCCTGGGTCGTGTTGGCGACCTCAGCACCAGCAGCATTTTCGACATTTCGGGTTTCTTCAGCGACATCAGCTACCTCGGCCATCTCGACATCCTTGCCGGGCTGGTCATCTCCACCCGTGCCAGGCTTTCTCGTCTTAGCTTCAACGATTCTAACATCTTCAAGGCTTTCGACCGCGACACCTTCCTCATGGCCGTCTTTGGCGCCTGTAGTCACTTCAACCTCAGCCATTTCAACGTCCCGAGGATGTTCGGCATTTGAATTGCTTTCGACTTCAATCACCTCGGGATCCCCAGCGCCTTCAGCGCCATGAGCAACATCACGCTCCGTATCTTGCTCGCGTTCGGCAGCCTCAGGATTTGATGTCTGAATATCCTCGCGATCCTCGCGATCTGATATATTTTCGATAGGCGTGTACCATGCGGTCCTTTCATAAGGTGTAGGTGAGGACATTCCAACCGACATCTTGTCGTCGTCGGTATCAAATTGCAGATCTTGAGTCGAAGGTCCGAACGAATGTGCGTGTAGATTCGAGAATTTGTCCGCAAGACTTCCTGTAAAGGAAGTGCCCGCCTGAGGCCTAGTATGGCTCGCTGCTGCATCGGCTTGGCCCGCGGGCATGTACTGAGAAGCAGCTATTTCGATCCTATCCGCCGTGAGACTTCGCTTTTTGAATGACGGCCGTGAGAAATTAGACGTAAAATACGTTTCGTAGTCTTGTGACTTGGTGTCCTGAAACTGCGTCTGCTCAATGTGCTGTTGGTATTCCTCTAAATGTTGGATGACAAAATCATCCCACAGGAAAGATCTCTTCAGGTTTCCCCCGGCTCGGAGGGCCCGCAGTTTGAAGCATAACTCGGTAAAATGCGGAAAGTCTCCCTCATAAAGTGGATAGTCACTGCGAAACTTTTCATAGACTCTTTGTGCCTCCACAAGGTTGCTAGAGCCCCCAATGTAGTTTTGTCGACGAAAGATCACGTTGGGTGTTGGCTCTTTGATCACTCGGGCCTGCTTGATTACCCTGTGTCGCTTAGCTGGAGACTGCTCTTCGACATCGAGCTCTGATGCAAAGCGCTTCAGTGGCAATTTAGATGCATGCTCAACGGGTGGGTCTTGTGCAGGGTTGAGGATATCTGTTGCGTTTTCTGCATTTTCGCCGGTCGGAATAGAAGAAATCACTACGTTGTGAGATGAGAACGGTTTCGACGACCCGTCTGATTGGGATGTTGAATTGGGCACAGCCATGCTCGGTTGCGGAGACACGGCGTCATTCTGAGGCTGCCAGCTACCATTGCTTAATTGTGTCGCCATAATATCAACTTCATGGAAGCCACTTCCCTGGGAAGGGTTTGAAGACCCCTGGGTGTCTTGTGTGCCGGGTTGGTTGCTGGCGTACGTGTTCAAAATGCGCGACTGAGAGGACGACTTGGCCTGGGGGGTTGTTATGCGTTCGGGGGAAGTGACTGGACCGGCTTTGTCCTTATTCGCATTCGCGGGCTGGAGGCGATTAAAATGGCCCGCAGGGGTTTCCACCACCTGTATTTGTTCTTGATGTGCAGGAAGGGATGGCCCTGAACTGGTAATTTCAACATCCGACTGGCCGTGAAAGTATTTTTGCTGTGAGCCAGGAGCCCCGAGTGGACAAGGGACGGATGTATCCATCATTGAATCCTCGCTCTCTTCATCAGAACTCGGATCGCGACCTTGGACAGCATCTTCGATCTCCACTGGCTGTGTCTCGGTAGCAGTGGTTACCCCATTGGCCTTTCCATGGCCTTGGGCGTTTTGATTGTCACGCGACAGGTCTTGTTCGCGTTGATTTTCGGACTTTGACTGGAGGGTTTCCTTGCTTCTATGTGCTTGCGCGACTACTACCCTTGGGGGACCTCGCTCCGCTGGACTACTATCAGCTGGCAATTGCTGCCGAGGGCGAACATTCCGTTCCGGGGAGCCGTCCCATGAATATGCGCTATCTGAATCCGACTCGGATGCGGAGCTGCTATTGTCCGGCGAGGGCTCGTGTGAGTCGACCGGATCGATCGATTGGGTGACAGCAGCTTTCCAATCTTCCGCCTTTGAAAACCGACTTCGTTGGTAGGCGATATTGTTCCACTGATTCAGAAGAGATGGCGGCACATGGCCTTGGGGCATTCTCTCTCCTACAGCAGGGGGAACCCAACACAAGGTATGCTGCTCAAACAAGGCTGCTTGGTCTTTTGGTATGGTAACATCTCGTCTGTGAATCCTTGTCATACCCACCCACGGGTTCTTGTTTCTGGATTCTTGAAGATTAGGAGGTCGTCTTGTACCAGAGGTTATTTTATTAGCCGAATTCTTTTCAGGGGATCCGCTTAATGATGATTTTGAATTATTTTTATCCTTTACGCTCTCAGCGACTTCCACGGAGCGTTTATTGCCGTCTTCTGGTTTACGAGGTTGCGAACTTGGCTGCTCACGCTCACCCGTATGGGGTTGAGCCGCGTTGTCGGCACCAGGGCTCTTATCCACAGCTATCGACTGAGAGACAGGAGTAGGCGTAGACTTGCGTGTATTTTCCATGCTTGTACCTCGAGCATCACTTGCAGCATCCTGGCGTTCGTTGCCACCAGCTTGCTCCAATCTTTCGGTTTCAATCGAGCGTGCACGACCGGCAGATGCTGAGATGGCTTCTACCGGGTGACTTGTCGCTAGCCCTCGATCTGTAGTTATGGAGTTGGATTCTAGAAGTCCTAGAAGCTTAGCCGAGGAAGTCGAACCATTCCCTGAGTTTTTAGAGTCGGTTGAGGGCCTAGGGGGATGGAACGTTGGTTGAACCTGGGACGCTAGAAAGTCCTGGGTATCATTCATATGGGAAACTCTATTGGCTTGCGTCTGAGGGGGCTCGTTGAAATAAGACGTATTCGCCAGGCTATTTCGGCTTCTCTCCCGGGATTTGATCTGATCGGAAAGCGTTCGCATCAATTGTTGTAGAGACTGGTGGTTCCTTTTGATACCTCTGCCCTGCGGTGGTCCTTTAAAGGGGCGTTTATCGGAAGCGACTTTAAAGCGTGTGACATAGAGATGAATCTTAGGTTGAGAGATGGAGTATTCGAAAACCACCTCGAAATCCATTAATTTGAGGTATTTGCCTCTGGCCCTGTCCTTGTCGAGCTGGAGCTTGGGATATTCTCGTTCGAAGGTTTCTAGAGAGTCTCTGCCAAGGATCGCATCGATCTGGGTATATAAATCGGTGACATTGAGGGTGGTTGTTTTATTGCCTGTAGCCCACTAGCAGTGAGAGCCTGTCAGTAATATGAAGAAGGCTGTATGTAGAATAATTGAGCAACCTACGCTATTGACCAAGACGAGTTGCTGAGGGATGTTGAGAAAACGAAGATTACTTCCATCGTCTTCAAACTCAGAGGCCTTCCACCGCACAGAAAGGCAATTTTCAATCACAGGAGCAATCCAGGACTTTATGGGCGATGCCATGATGTCGATCCAATAAATGGGCCGGGCTCAGTCCATGCAGCATGATCGTGTTTGGGAATCAAGTGAGATTTTCGGCCATGGTATCCGTAAAGATGAAGGAGATGAAGTTAATATCTGCGAACTATCATGGATACTGCATCACGTATTCAATGTTGTCTCAGTCGCAGGCTGACTTCGAGACTTGAAGACTAATTCCTCTCCTCCGGACGCGAAATCCGACGCGCCTCACCGCCTGCCGGATCCACCCGCCACTTCCGCGGTGCCACACAACCACGTCATTGGGCACATGTTGCGGTCTCCTCTTGTCCAGACCGAAGCATCCAAAAAAAGAAGGTCTCGGATCCGTCAGGCCTTGTCTTCTTACTTCTCCCTCACTGACCTCTCATCTGTCGTCTTTTCCAGCTTATACATGCCCCCTGCGAATGCATGGTCGATCATAGATATTGGATATTGACCCCCGCGATCCCACCCCTCCAATAATACCTACGCATACAACACCGCCTCGAGACGCCAAACATTAGAGCTCCGCTGACTGTTGGTTTGCCGCGAATGGTTCTCACCAATCTCATCCTTTAAACCGGGGCAAGTTACTCGAAACTTGGCTCCTGGCTTTGGGATAACGGACTCGCCAAGTGATAGGCTGGATGGAGTCTCAACGGTCCCAAGGGACGTCAAGTCCGGGCGCATCGTCGATCTTCCTCCCACTAGGGCGTCGAGGATCTCGGGCCTCGTTATCAACCCAGGCCGAACGACAAGGACTAAATGCAGCTCTCGACCAGATTCATACGGCGGCATATCAGTCGGATTCCCTCACCGTTTTCAACGATTTCACAAACCCACCCGCCCCGACGTCCGCGGCAGAGGAGAAGAGCTTCTCGGGCGAGCTTCAAGGAGGCCTTAGTGGGTTGTATAGTCGACTTCGAACCTCGGTTGGTGGCGTGAGGGATATTGTCAGTGGTGTGGGAAGGTCGTCGGACAAAGCGTCCTCTGAGGATCACGGTCCGAAGAGTCCTCCGCTGGAGCGGTCTGCCACGAAGCCTGCTTTTGATTCCGCTGCCTCCATAGAGTCTCAACCAAACCACCCAAGTTCATCCCAAGGCTCGAGACTACACTCGCCGACCTCTGTCACACACTACCCTGCGCAGGATGGCCACCATCTTTTGGAGCCCCGGAAAGGCTCGAAGCTCTCATCAAACACCACCAGTATATCATCTAAAGCGTCGGTTTCGCCGTCCCCGGCATTGAAATCTCCAGCTGTGCCCTTGCCCAAGTCCACTACGAGCTCCGCCGCCGTCGATCCGACGGTCACTGAACTCCATGTCAACGCCGTTAAGGAGCCTCACTATTCAAGTAATAATTCTGTCAATCTCTCTACTCATAGCTTGCAGACAACCGATTCAGTTGGTACTGATAAAGAAGAAGCACCACATCCTCCGTCGCTGAGCTCCTCTGGATGGAGTCAGCGCTTAGCGCACTCGCCTGTGTTACAGGCAAAAGCCCACAATAGCTCCACTGAAACCCTGGGGATCCCAGACTTCGGCAGATTGTCCACAGCAGGTAGTCAGATTTCTGACAATAAAAAGAGACCAGATGGCCCAGGAGCTCATGATCTTGATTTGTCTTTGCCAGGACCGGTGCGAAAGGCCAAGAACTCAATAGACGGTTCCCAGAATGGCACCTCATTAGCTCAGGAAAGGATCAGATCCGATTCAGCCGCATCTTTCCACCCCGGGTCCAGCACTGTGTCCGGCTCCGGGACAAATAGTGCCTTCCAGACTCCCAATAACGGAGAAGCTGCTTTCCCCGACGGATTAGCGTCATCCTCCACCGCTGCAACATCCATATCCCTAGCGGATGGGGACGCACGTTCACGAGAGGCACTTAAAAATCAATACAAGGACACCAGAGCTCGTCAGGAGTCTACCGCGTCCAGCTCGAGCCGCTTCCAAGGAGGTTTTACCACACCTCAAACCACCCATGCTGAAACGGGGTCTGGTCCTCCCATCGTGCCTCCCATCAATACAGCTGTGGATCGCGCCCCTAGTAGCCAGGACGTCCGAGGTCGGCGCCCACCTCTTAGAGAAAACTCGAGTGCGCAGTTCAGGAGCAAGTTGCTCAGTAAGGAATATTGGATGCGCGACGAGAACGCGAAAGACTGTTTTCAATGTGGTGAAACCTTTTCTACATTTAGGCGGAAACATCACTGTCGAACCTGTGGACAAATCTTTGATTCTAAATGTACGCTGCTAATTTCAGGAGAGAGGTTTGGTCAGCAGGGGTCTATCCGAGTTTGCCAGCCATGTGAGGCTATGATAAATGGGCATGATGACGATTCGTCCGAATTCTCGGACAGTGAGCAAAGTCCAATTGCCGTCAACCCTCGCGTTTCGGAGCTGGGATCGACAAATTATTCGCGCATGGGCGCAGACGATGATGACACTTCTTCCATCATCTCGCAGCCCATGGAGCATGTGATGAAGACGCCAACGATGGCGATTCCAGCTACGCGGCGCGCTGGCGAAGGTCATAATAGGCGCTCCGCTGTTCTCGAGATCAGCCCCGACCGACCCCTGCTGGCGAGGCCGACATCTTCAAGGTCGCTCAAATCCACTTTGAGTGGAAGAACTCACTCAATGGGACACAAGCGTCATCATTCTCGTCAGCAGGTCATTCGAAATTTCAAAACCCATCATGATGAACGCGCCCCCTTTCAGCGGCGCACTGCCGACGACTCTGGTCGTGGGTCTAACCTCCCCGCGTTCCACAAAGACAATATCATCGACCCAGATCTGGCGCAGTATCTCTCAGACGATGCATCCAGTGGCGATGAGCAGCCAAGTCTCTTGTCGGCGGTCTCAGATGCTTCCTTATCCAAGAGCGGTGGCGAGACCGAGAGAACAACGTTCGGTGGCCTTCTGGCTGCTATGAAGAAGGGCCGCTCTGCTTTTGGAGACCGAAGCGTTGCTAGCTTCAACCAAGCCGTCGGCCGCGAGCTGGACGATGGAAGTATCAGCAGCTCAAAAGCCGTTAATCTTCCCCGTCGACGACGCAACCTTAGCGTTGCTAGCAGTATCCACCGCCACTCCCCGAGAGCCTCGAAGGAGAGCGGTTTCCTTTCCCATGAAGCATCGAATGCCGCCCACGTTTTTCCTGCGGGAATTCCCTCTAGTGGTTTCAAGATGACGAGAAGTTCTTCTATGAGGGGAGCAGGCGCCCCTCCGGTGGAGCTCAACAAAGCTAGTTTGCAGCATGTCCGTAAACTGCTGCGCCAGCTCCTAACCGACTCAGCTGTCCCTCACGCGCATAGCTGGGAGACAGCGCTGCTTCCCATCCTCCTCAAAGCGGCGGATGATGTTGATCCAGACGTTCAGGGAGGTGACGATATGGACATTCGTCATTTCATCAAACTTAAGAAGATTCTAGGTGGCCGGCCAGGCGATACATGCTATGTCTCCGGCCTGGTGTTTACAAAGAATCTCGCGCTCAAAAGCATGTCCAGGAACATCTCGCGGCCGAAAATTCTCATCATCGCCTTTCCCCTCGAATACGCACGTCACCAACAGCACTTCATGAGCCTGGAGCCTGTGATTCGCCAGGAGCGTGAGTTTCTCGAGAATCTTGTTGGCCGCATAGCTGCTCTCCGGCCTAATTTGCTTCTTGTTGAGAAGAACGTCTCCGGGCTCGCGTTGGAGTTGTTAGAGAAAGCCAATATCGCGACCGCCTACAATGTCAAGTCCTCGGTTCTTGAGGCTGTTTCGCGGTGCACCCAAACCAAGATTATCACTTCCATGGATAAACTTGTGACCACCCCCACAGGGAGTGAATGCGGCAGTTTTGACGTCAGGACGCACGTGTTCAACGGTCGTAAGAAGACGTACATGTACCTTTCTGGCTGCAGTAAAGAGCTCGGATGTACTATCGTTCTCCGAGGAGGCGATAGTCAAGTTCTTTGCAGTGTCAAAAAGATCACGGAGTTCATGGCATATGTTGTTTACAATCTAAGATTGGAGACTTGCGTGATGAGAGATGAATTCGCTCAGATACCAACCTCATTCGACACCGGCAGCCGAGATAAGAAGGGCGATGAACGAATCTGTTCAAGCGCTTTAACAATCAAAGCAGAAAATCAAAGTGTCCTGGCTCTTCCGCAGGCGGAATCCACCGAGAGCAAGGGCGACGGTGCCTCTCAAGACAAGAGTGGCGGAGTCACCGGCGAGGACACCGATGTACCCGACGATGTGCCAATGCCGACCTATTACGAAGAAATCGTCCGAGATCATGAGACCAAGATCATCTCGGCCTCTCCGTTCGTCAAGTTTGAGCCTCCGTATCTGCTGATGCGGGCTAGAGAAATGGAACGCAGGTTGGACTACCTCAAACGTCTCCAAAATCAGGATCTAGAATCAGATCTGTCGTTGGACGAGAAAAGCAGATCCCAGAAGTTCGTTCTGATTACGCCGGAAATGGTCCACGAATCGCCCCAGGGCGCTTCGCCCAAAGTCAAGGAGGTTTTGCGCGCGGCCCACGATGCCGAATACGACCGAGCCCTACATCACTATCAGACCCAGAAACGCCAGTGGGAGGCGTATATTGGGGGAACCACAGATATCTTTGACCCGTACACGCACCAGAATATCGTTGTACTATATAGCCTGGTCTGCACCACTTCCTCAGTCCCATGCTCCGGTCCAGATCTGATCGCCTTGGAATACTATAATGAACACGGTGGTGAGGATGCGATTCTTGAGCCTGATTGCACCATTGGCCAGTATGTGGAGGATGTCTGCCTCAATGCGAACGCTATCTGTACGGTCAATGGCTGTGAAAAGCACATGTTTGAGCATCACCGGCAATACGTCCATGGGGAAGCCCAGATTAGCGTTTTCATTCAGCCTTACCCGTCCAAATTGCGTGGTCTTCAGGACTCGATATTGATGTGGAGCAGCTGCAAAATCTGTGGCAATGAAACTCAAGTCATTCCAATGTCGGAGAGTACGTGG